GCGGACAGGTTCCCTGTCGGAAAGCGTGAGCCAGAGCTGGTCGCAAGGACCGCTAGCGCGGACAGGTTTCCTGTCGGGAAGCGTGAACCAGAGCTCGTTGAAAGAACCGCCAGTGCGGATAGATTTCCTGCCGGAAAGCGTGAAGAGTAAGGTAAGTAAATCTGAGCCGAGAAGGGCGCACCATACTTCACACAAAAGCAAAATTCTTATGGATCTCTTACAGACTCTTCTCAGTTTTGGAGACGGAGACGGAGATGGAGATGGCAGATATCGACGCTGCAGAGAATTGGCACATAATAGTTCCCGACGGAGTATCGTTGTGTCACGTGTTGCACTAGTCCAGGTCAGGACTAGCCTGATACTGCCGCATCTTTTAATTTAAACTCGAGTCACTGACTCTCTTGTACTTCTCAGACAGACAGAAGATTCTCAACAAACAACACTCTGCCATTGCGGCAACCTTTTCCTCTCCTTTGTTGTGGGCTAGTGCTACACATTCATTTGTCGTCTTGCAACAAACTGGTAGCAACGCTTCTCCCTTTGTTGTGGGCTAGTGCTTGACTCACTCATTTGACGTCTTGCAACAAACTGGTAGCAACGCTTACTCTCCGTTCGAGACCTTATTGCAAGGTGGAGATCGATCCTTGAAGGTCTTCCTGGCATTGCGCCCGGTTACTCCTCACCCGCCGCCTTCCTCACATCCTACTTACTCGTCGAACTCGATCCAGCTGGCAGAGGCTCGAATAGCCCGATAATTCGAAGAGCAACACACCTCATTGCGCGATTCAGACATGGTCTACCTAAACTCGCGAAAGGGACACAACCCGGTTACCGCTTGCCAAACATGTCCACCCTTGTCGACGCCTTTGACACTCGGTCCTGACCTCGTCGCCGTTGACAGGTTTGCTCTTTATCAACACCACCAATATTTCTCCTACTTCGAATTCCCAATAGGCGGTTAATCCCACTGCTTCCTGCGCTTCCACCGGACTCGTTTGGCAACCTTCGGGCCCATTCTTGTCGGAAGACGTTTTTTCACACCAACTTTACATCAACATCAATCAATCAATCCATCGGTAATGTGGCATGAATGACCAACCCTCATTGTGCCTTCGCCAAGACCAGTGAAAATTCCAAAATTCGACGACTACTTCAGTTTCTTCATCTCTCGAATTTCATCTTTCAAACGTTCATCACCTTAGTCACATGACAGTTGGCCCTCGGCCAGGTTGAGGTTAGCCTACAACCACCCACCACTGTCCTTTAGTCTAGTTAGTCGAGTCACTGACGCTCTCTCTTAGATATTCAACAGGCACATTCAACTCAACGGCCTAGCTACTTCTCTGCCATGGCGGCACCTTTTCCCTTGTTCCTTCATGGTGTGGCCACTGGATATTACAGCTCCCCAGCAACTGGTGAAAGAAATGGCCCCTTGACAACTATCGACATCGGGACTGCCCTCTCGAACCACGTCGGAGGATCATCGCCCGACTACTGGCTTACCGGGAGCGCTGGGTATTAGGACTGAAAGCCTATGAGAGGATGAACTGGCATTTTACAATAGAATCCCTCTATCACCGCTGGGTGTGGCTCTCACATACCTCTCTCCTCGCTCTCAGTATCAAGCCTCGCATCTGTCGCCTTGAACCTGCTAGTTTGGACACCACTTCTGAACGCTCCTTCTAAGCTAGAAGAAAGCATTGCATGCCATCCAGAACATGCAAGGAAGAGACGGGAGACTCTGTAACTCGACTGAGTGGAGGGAAAGTGTATACTTCCATGTTTGTCCTGCGGTGGCCTGTGAAAGCGCAATGCTGAGAGGCGGGATTCCAACAACATATTCTGCAACTTCTCAGACGTTGCTGACTTCTGCGATTTTGGATCCAACCAATACCTCGCTACTCTCTGCCTGTGCCTGCCAGTTTTGAGCCACCTGCACTTTCCCACGCTCAAGCAAAGCCGTTAAAGCTGCACCTTCCACAGGAAACCATGCCTAGATTTTCTGCCTGTCAACACTGGCTCTTTCTCCTTCGTTCTCTCCAGTTTGAACTGCGGGGCGTTGATCGCAGACAGTACCAGCTCCATATGATCATGATGGCTTGTCAGCTTGCCTTGCATTGAGCTTTAAGGTCATACGCCGAATCGGAATCCTCGTGCAGGCAGCCTTCAGCTGCTCTCTTCGGTAGCCCTTCCACCAACCTTCAGCTGCTCTCTTCAGAAGTCCTTCCACCAGCTTTCAAGCGCTCTCTTCAGAAGTCGTTCCGCCAACCTTCTGCCATACAATCGCATCAAGATGAACACGGTCCGAAGCCCACAAGAGCCCAATATCGAGCACACACGAGGCATTATCGTCATTGCACGGAAGAGCTCTAGAGTGTCTCTGGCTGCCGTTAAACAGCTAGAGGATCGGAACAAGACTCTGATCAAATTCTTCACTCCTCGATTATCAGGCGGCTCTTCGACAGAATGTACCTCTCTGGTTCTGAATGGGTTTTCTTCCAACTACAACATCCAGGATTCCCGGAAGAACGAGCTTGCCATCCTGAAGCGGAAGATTGAGACATATGATGCAGAGCCGCAAGCCCTGACAAGCCGTGCCTGCATTGTTGTCAGTGGTGATGACGGGTTTTTCACAAATATTGACGGCATATATGGCTTCTTCGATCGTTACAAGAATGTGACATTGATGCTGGTCGTCTACCATGGAGAAAACCAATACCTGGAGTACGAAATTCGAGACATTCTTCAAGCAATCTCAGAAATCAAGTCACACGTTGCCAAACCCACTGATCCGTGTCACACCTTGGTCAGATCCTGGATTGGTATTGCTGTCAATAAGGAGATACTCGCTCAAGCAAACAGGGATCTCAAGAGATTCATACCCCAGAAGAGGAACGCCTCAATCGTGTATGGAGAAGACCCAATTGCACTGGAACGTCCTGACAAGTCTGTTCTCAAGGCGTCCAAGAAACGTTCTGTTGTGGAGAAATATGGGATTTCCATCAACGATGATGGTGACCGAATGTGTCCCATACAGGACTGCAACGCAAGTTGGCCAACCCTGGAAGGACTTCGAGACCATATTCTCGATCACTGCCGTCAAGCTGGAAAGTGCGTACTCTGTGGTGACGATCGCAAAAACCCATTCAACCGCGAGAGTTTTCGTCTTCCCAGCGGACCCATGCGACGTGGCTTTACGAAACTTCAACGCGAGCACATGGAACGTCACTTACCACCCACATATGATTGCGAAGAACAAGGCTGCAGCAAGAGCTTTCACACCGAGTCCGACTATCTACAACATCAAGAAGGACACGAGCAGAGCCAACTGATCAATTGTACTCAGTGTGGTCAAAGCATCAGAAAGACATATGTGACGCAACATCTTCAAGCCCACTGCCCTGCCAGAAATAAGGCGAATGACGGTCTGATCAGATGCGGCATATGTCAAGCCGAATTCTCAAAAGTCGACATGTTCCACAAACACGTGAGAGCCGCGCATCAGAGGCGAGATGAAATCGTCGGTACTGCTACGTTAGCTGGTCTTTTTTCTGCGGGATTGCCTGGTCTGGGATTGGATGTTTCTGCGGCCATTGAAGAGTCTACCAGACTGAACGCTTCCTCGATGGCTATCCAGCACGGAAACTACTTTGATACGGCCCAAGCACCAAATGAAGGGAGATGGAAAGTCAATGGAAAGAGTGTTGGTCATGCTGTAGGATTCACAAACTGACCATATCGTGCACGACACCATTCTTATATGCCGTGGCAGAACGGTGGCTTCGGAATTTGTCTGACGAACACAAGATTGAGGAATGTTTGGAGGTCCAAAGGTTGATATGATGGCATACATTCGGAAGAGCTTCCAAGTATTCAAAGCTGCCAGCCTGCTGTCCGTGGTACTCTTGATTCTTGAAGAGTATCGAGTTCTTTCTTCTGATCGTTGGTGAGGGCAAAGAGTTCCAGTCATCCCTGAGTGGTACTCACCTGTTTAATGCGTACATCAGAAGTAGTTGACCATACCTGTGTAATCAATCAGAAAGTATCCAAAATGCACTTCACATATCCACTGTTAGCCAGGGTCGTCTTCCATCTTGCCATACAATTCTCCATCAATCACGAATCCATCTCTTTCCAAACGCTCCACTTCGGCTCAACGATCACAGCCCTCCCCCGAACGGAATAGTCCAGTGCAGATTAATAATTATTATTGATAACGATAGTCCACAAACGGAGTGGATCACTTTCCCATTGCCGTCCGATTATCTAACCCAGTTGCAACACCAACCTAACGGAAATCAACTATATCTACTCGGAACTATATGCATTGGACATCTCGTCATCTTCCTGACAAGTGCACGCATTATGCCCTTTTTTGGCGTAAGTGCCACAGCGCCTTTCTCTCCCTGGAGCGTGTGGAACCAACTGAATTGATTGATTAACTAGCAACTACTGAAGGTGGAGACTGGGTGGTAATAAGTGTCGTAGTGTCACTCGCCTAACCTACCCAATGTAGGTCGAGTCGGCTAAACTTCCCAATAGGGTTAGGGCAACAGCTTCGAACCTTCCGAGATCTGTCCCGGCTGTGTTTCTGGTCGCTGCTTGAATGCGCCGATTGGTGAATAAACGAATGTCTACTCGAAATATAGAAGAAACCAACGTTCGATGCTGAGATCAGGCGTCCAGTATGGCGAATTGGCCAAGAGAAAATAATTGTGTCTGACAGATTGTCATTCATCTCGACTGCCAAATGAGCCTCGTCGCTGTATCTTGAAGCCAAGACCCTGACCAGTCCAAATGTGGCAAAGCGCAGGGCGCAATTGACTATCTTTTCAACTTACTCTTCACATTCGCATTGCCCTCTACCTTTTGGAAGTAGTAGGATTAAGCCCTCATCATTCCCAGCGCGATAAGAACCTAGCGAGCGCTTCCGCGATGAGAACTGCTCGCCGAACAGCATAGAGCTCATCAGGTTCGTTTCCTACCTTTGCGATAGAGCTATCAACCTCCTCGGATGTTGACCGCGACGAAGGTGACTATCAACTACAAATACGGACATTGATTCCAAGGGCCGTGGAAATTGCAAACTGCCTGGCGTGCCACGGTAAGTTTGGGGACGAAATTCTTCTAAGTATGAATGCCTCCGGCAAGCAGGGTCTTAGAAATTTCAACATGCCTTGCGTGTCGCGACACGTTTCAGGCTGAGAATTTTCTAAGTATAAATGCCTCCCGCAAGCAAGTCCTTAGAAATTTCAATCTGCCTGGCGTGTCGCGACACGTTTCAGGACGAGATTTCTCTAAGTATGAGCGGGGGAACGCTTGGGAATGCCTCCGGGCGGGAGCACACAGGCGCAGGGACGCAATTACTGTCAGTGGTGATAGCGCTTCCACATAACTCTCCGTCTTCTCCAGAAGCAGCTCTGTTCCGGCAGCATCTTCAGTTTGTTGTTCTTCATCAAGCGTGGCACCATCAACAAGAATTACTAACATGTAGAGGTACCCTGCCGTGCATAAGAACCATTATCATCGCTTGTCGCCAAGGCTAATTGCTGGTAGTGAAGACGCACAACAGCACGAAGCATATTGATGACAGCCTTGTCTCCTCTTGGCGAGAATTTTTGATAAACTTTTCGACAAAACCTCACCTTCCATTTGATCTCTTCTCTCCATCCTTGCAAACTCTGTCAAACCACCGAAACTTTCTCTCGAACAGGCTCACCTTTATTGCTTCATCTTTCTTCGTCTTATTACTCTTTTTCCATCCCAACCATGTATCTCCCGCATGGGGCCACCTCTTCGTGGTGCGGGAGACGAGTAGCCAGTTGCACCCAGCAACTGGTGAAACCAACGGCCCCTTCGCTGCCCGCTTGATATGTGTATCAGTAACCCGGTTGCCGCGGGCAGATTGTCGTCTGCGCAGGCTGGTAAGCCTGTCTTTAAATCTACCTTCATCCCAGCGAAAGGCTTTCTACCGATCAGAAACCTCTCACTCTACCCCTTGGTCGTGCCGCCTATCTAACGATCAAGCCGAATCCGACTCCCTCCCACCACCCTCTCCTTCCCGAGCTGAGGTGTAAACTGCGTGAGAAGTGATCTCCGGGTCCAGGCGTGCCACGGAAGAGCTGCGGTTTACGATCTCCACGTCTCGGTCTCTGCTCTGGCAGACTTGTGTTCCCCTGTCGAAAGAGACGGAATCGGTACATTTGTCATGAGTTGAACCCCAACAAACATCAGTGGCAAGGAGCTCGACCCGCAACACTCAGAGAGGCAGATTCAACTCAAGTCACCGCGACCGAACTCCCTTCAACGTGCCACGCGGGACCAGACCGTCCCCATGGTGCGAGAGACGAGCCGTCAGTTGCTTTCTGCAAGTGGTAAAATCAATAACGAACATCACCGTGCCAACCGGGACAAGACCGTCCCCATGGTGAGAGAAGATGGTCTCGTTGCCCCATAACCATACCTGACTTGTTCTAGGCCGGTCGCACTTTCCCTCCAAACCCTTGTGGTCGCTTCTGCCTGCTGGCACATTTGCCACCCAGCTAACCTGCCTTCTCCAATCTCCCTCCTAAATGAACGATCACCACCACCACCAGCAGTCATCTGCACATTTGCCAGCATCGCGCGTCAACCTCCTTGACATCTCTTAGACCCTCCCTGTCGCTCTCTCGGCATTCACAGGCTCGAGCTTCAACTTCCATGGGCAAACAACCTGGGTCTCGGGTGCCCTGTATTCGTTCTCAAGCACTCCGAGGCAAGCATCATCCGTCACCATACGTTGAGGGAGTTCCTCCGCAACGTGTCATTGTGCCTCCTGCACCCTCCAACCAGGCTAGTATGGACAGATTCTTCTTGAGAGCAGCTGCTCCAACGTCTCGTCTTGATTTTCCGGGTACCTCACAAAGTGAGTTTCGTCATCTCAGCCTTTGACGATGGCCCACTTTCCATTCTAACTTATCCGAGCAGAGCCCCTCGTACTTGGTGAGACGGACGACAATACCGATCTCAACAGCATTCTGACAGGTATGGTCCAAGATGACTGTGATTCTCTGGAGGAACCCTTCTCACTGACTCGTGAATCAGCAGACGAGCACCAAACCTTCCCTGAAGATCTTGAACAGATCGACTCCTCCGGTGACTATTCCGTCAAGGACCAAAGTGGCAGCAACATCGGGACTTTTCCACTGCTTGTTGATGAAGAACGTCGAAAGAAAAGAGCATTGGAAAGTTCACCTGCGGCAATCTCCCTAAATGGCGGCATCAGATCCTTACACACGCCTCCTACTGAGAAGACTCTCTTTCAAGAGGATGATCATCCGGACAACAGAAAGCTTGACCTCACTTCTTGGTCGACAGCATAGAATGCGTCAACCAGTGTCGTGCGAACATCCGAGACAGTGGATGGTTCTCAACAATATCTGCAGAGTTCTGAGATGAAGCCTCGCAAGCTCGAAACTCTCACAACGGTCATTGTGATAGCCCGAAAGAGTGATAAAGTGAGCAGTACAGTTGTTAAAGGGCTCCTTTCTCGCTGCCAAGACCTACACAACCTCATCATGGAGCGCATCCACGATCAGCTTCCGGACCATGCATGCTCCACCAACTGTTCGGCTGCAGAGTATGTGCCTATTGTCCTCAACCATTGTTCGTCGAACTGCAATATTGCACAGGCTACCAAGACCCAAGAAATTGCAAAGCTTCGCAAGACCCTTGATTTGCTCGAGGCCAGAGGTGATGCTCGACAAAGCCGTGTCATCATTGCTATGTCGGGGGTTGACGGATTCTGCACCAACATTGATGGTCTGCATGAATTCTTCAGAGTCTATGTCAACATCGTCATCACATTCATTGTGTTTCACGGGAAGGATCAACACCAGGTCTATTCGGCAAAAGAATTGTTGTCTGCAATTCAGGACATTAAAGCGCAGACCATCATTTCAGAAAGCCCATCCCACTTGTTTGTTCTACGCATGATCTCTGTCGCTGTTGGAAAAGAGAAACATGCAGACAGCAACAGGGATCTTCAACGAATGCTCACCGAACGTCGAAACAGTGAGTGGGTGCCCTATGAAATCAAACGCCCCACGGAGCCTACCGAGATCGAGGCCGTCACTTTCACACTACCTCCTGAGCAGGCTGGTGTGATCCTTCGCTATGGTCTCGAACGAAATGACAAGGGGCAATTCATCTGTCCAAATCAACCATGCGCCACCAACTGCAACACAATTGACAATATCATCATCCACTTGATAAGCCATTGTCGTATTCAAAGCAAATGCGTGCTCTGCCCCATTGGTCTACTCAACGACTTCTCCACCGGGAACTTTAAAGACAGTCCAAACTCTGCTTTCGTCATCAGCCTCAAGCAACACTTACTGCACCATCTGCCCCCAACCTACTTCTGCATGCATGAAGGTTGCAACAGATCGTATCATACATCAGACGAGCTCAAGAGACATCGAGCTTACCATAAGACTTCCAACGATGAGATGGTTCCATGCCCAAACTGTGGCAAACTGCAAAAGAAGAAATCTCTTTCCCGTCACATGGGATTGTGCTCGGCTGATGAAAGCACAAAGCAACTACATCAATGCGGTACATGCAATGGGGTCTTCCCAAACGCTGCCAAGCTCAATAATCACATCCGCAATGCTCACCAACGAAGAGATGAAATCATAGGCATCGCAGTCAGTTCAGGACTCCTCAATGCTGGTGTTCCAGGTTTGGGATTGGACGCGTCTGCTGCCGTCCAAGGTGCTGTTGATAACATACAATCCGCGCAAACTCAAGAGCATGGTAACACAGTCTCCAAAGTTGAAATCTGGCCGCCAAAAGCGAAAGCGAATGGTCTTAGAACATCCGACCCCGTTCGCACTCTCTTCCCTGGAAACTGATCTGTTGCGACTCGATAGCACATGTCCTGACTGGACCGTCTTTTCGACATGTTGCGATGTATGCTCAATTAAAGCGGCGGTGGCGGCGATGGCAGACGCCCAAGAATACCCAAATGACTAGGAAAAGGTGGCATGCGGCAGTGGTGAGCGCTCCTTCGAACCGAGCATCGATGTTTTATGAATCGCATTCGGTCATTCTGCAGCGCACGCGACAATTTGCTGAGATGGTAGCCATGATGGACACGAGTCTTTGAGATCGGGATGGCCGGCTAGTTGATTGATAGGTAGTGCTAGTAATTGAAAGGTTATGATTGATACCTTCATATTTGGATTGTGCTATTTTGTGAAACAGCTTTCGTACGATCACCATCAACGTCCACCAACGCGAGAACTAGCCATAGTCTTGTTGATATCCATCGAATCCCTCATGTGTTCCCACAGCCAAGCATGAATACAGAAGTGGAAACTACTCTCGAGCTGCTCCGATGGACTTGAGTGTGGCCAAGATTGTCAGCGCTGTAGGCTGTTTTGAAAAGGCATAGAGAGCTGAAATCTCTGTACCCGAGATATCTGCAATAATGACATTGCAAGTACACTTAAGAGACAGAGAAACCACTGCCATGAATAGCCGGACAATTGCATAAGCCAGTTGGTTCTCACCCCGGCTCGTGCAAACGCTCCGCTGCCGGCACCGACACTATTTCGATATTCTGGCTGGACTGCTCCACGGCTTATTATTGCGGAATGTAAAGTCCTCTCAATGCTCTGGCATCTTTGCTCTCTGTGGTTGTGGCCAGAGTTTGCCTGTAACCTCGACGTTTCCTGGGCGTCGCTTTGCTCTGGGTGCAGAATGTATTCTGGGTCAGACTGGAGGGTTCTCCCGTGTGGTTAGCCTTGACTTGTTCGCTCCGAGATGCTAGTCGCTGGGAAAGATATGTAGTCTGTCGTCGTACACAGTGGTGCCTCTCTCCCTATTGACAAGATCAGCCCATCTTTGATCCGGCGGCTACCTCGTCGTTATCTCCAGAGTGCGTCAGATTGTACTAGAATATTGCTTCCTAGAGGCTTGCCCTCTCCCCTTCATGCACCCGAGCTGTGTTGCGCGATCCATCTTATTCTCTTTGGATGACGTGCTGCGGCCAGTGTCCAAATGTTCGGCAGTACGCCTCCTTTCGACTGCGGCGGCCCCAAAAAGTAAGCCAATGCCAGCCCACATGGCGGTCCCAAGTCGCTACCAAAATTCCCCCACCACCCACCCACCTTTTTCCCATCGGAATATATTTTGGAAACACCAGATTTCTTCAACAATCACAGCACTGGTGGGTAAGTAGCAGGTTTTCCAACCCAACCAGTTAGCCAACTGATTTCTAACACACTCAATAGTTTAGTGGTGTATGTTCTCAAGCCATCCCGATACAGTTGATCCAGTCCTAACAACATGTCCAGAAAATCCATCGTTGCCATCGATGGGGTGAGTTTGATACCTGAACCCGCCAGACCACGACAAAGATTCTAACAAATACTTCCAGCCCCGTGTTCGATTCACGGCCAGTGCAGCCCTTTGCTTTTTGCTTCTTTTTTTGTTTTTTTTGAGTCGAAGACCGGCGTGTGAAATCTCCGTGGGATGTCCAGTGGGGCCAAGGCTAGGGTTAGGGCAGGGGATGAAGCGGATGGTAAGATCGAAAGACCTTCCATTTTGGGAACAGACAGAGCACGCAAGGACAAAAAACAAACCAGCAGGGGAATACATGGGCTGAGAGGAAACTGTCTTCATTATTATGTGGACGTTGTGGGTGTCTCTTGTATATACGCCCGAGCAAGGCTGTGATCCCCCCCTTTTTTTTTGCTTAAAGCGGCAGCGACAGAGAATGGCTGTGGAGGAAGGCACGACAAATTATCAGTTGAAGGCACTTTCTTCAAAACGAACCAAAGTCTTTGACGAGAGGATATCGTCATTGGACAAAAAAGCAAAGTATGTATGTTGTGCTCAAGTCAAAACTCAAAGGGTAATGTGTGCAATCTTTGAACATCTACAGCCTCCGCCCCTCTAGCGCAAAACCCAATACAAGACAGCCGGATGTCGCAAGTTTGACGCGCACCCTGCCGACACATTACGCGCTTTATAGCCTGGCGCCGGCCTTCCTTCTCGCCTCCTTCTCTCTATCCCTAAGCAACCTCCTGAGGATCTTGCCGCTGGCGGATTTGGGGATCACGTCGATGAATTCGACACCACCCGCAAGCCATTTGTGGCGGGCCTTTTCCTTCTCGACGTGCTTGATGATGGACCGCTTGAGGAGAGCTTCGCTGTCTTCCAAGCCTACCGACTTGGCCTTGACAACAAAGGCCTTGGGCACCTCGCCCGCGCGATCGTCCTGGACGGGGATTACGGCACAGTCGGCCACGGCGTGGTGGTTGAGCAGGCACGCTTCGAGCTCTGCAGGGGCGACTTGGAGACCCTGTAGCCTTGTCAGAACTGATCCACGAACAGAGTTGGGGACAGTTTTAACTCACCTTGACCTTGATCAGCTCCTTTATGCGATCCACGACCCAGATATGTTCGTTGCCCTTTGGCGACACTCTAAACTCCACCTCGTCTCCCGTCCGCATAAATCTGCCCTCGGGCATATCCACAAACGTTTCCATTGTGGCCTTTTGATTCTTCAGATATCCAAGCACGACGCTGGGTGACTTGACGAGGAGTTCGCCCGGTTGGTTGTATCCGGTGATCTCGTTCCCCTCAATGCTCATAACTTTGGCCTCGTATCCAGGTATCAAACATCCCGACGAACCGAACCAGATGTCAGATGGAGATGTCGAGCACACGACGGTACACGTCTCTGTTAGACCGTAGCCTTGTCGAACCTTCCACGAGGGAAATTGAGAGGCCAATTCCTCTGCGGTCTCTTTGCCTAGAGGAGCAGCACCCGTGAAGATGCTAGTCACGCTGGACAGGTCGTACTTGCTTGTCAGCTCTCGATTCTTAACCATAGCGATGATGATGGGCGGCACGATGTAGAGAGTGTTGATATTGAACTTCTGAATGCCATTGAGAAACTGATTCAGTTCGAACTTTGGAAGTATAATGACTTGGTCGCCGCGGTATGTCGAAGCGTGACAGATGACAATCAACCCATAGATATGCGACTGAGGGAGTAGACCTAGCGCCACATCCTTATACCCAGGGGCTATTGCGTCGCGGGCGGCTTTGTCATACTCGGCGATCTGGACAGTGTTGGCGATGACGTTCCGATGGGAAATCATGACCCCTTTCTGTCCGGTTCGTGTCAGAATTCCATATTTCTAGAAGGGCACAATGACTTACCGGCAGTCCCGAGGTTCCACTGGAGTAGCACAAGAATGCGGTCTGCCGTTCTCCCTGACCCTTCTCCCATCTGATTGGCTCCAGCGGTGGTAGCGATTGGCCTTGCTTGGTCAATTGAGACAAGGTCTTGAATTCCTTGGGGATGGGAGGGTCGTTGGGCATTTCGCAGATGTAGACATGTTTTCTCGGGATGTTGGATTTGGCCGCGGCGTCGAGGGCAGTCTGCAGCAATGGCATGACGGTGAACAGGACCTTGGACCCGGAATTGGTAAGTTGATAGCTCAGCTCGTCGGCGTTGAAGGCGGCGTTGGCGGGAGCGGAGACCCCATTGATTCTGTGGATTGCCCAGTTGAGTGTCATGATGTCTATCTGTTGACCCCTTCGTGTTAGAACTGATTTCCCTTTTGTGCGACACAACATCCTCCCGATATATATACCGTATTCAGGGCGAAGACGCCCACGACTTTGTCATATTCCGTGCCTTCGTTCACTGCCCAGCCAAACTCCTTGGCCAACGCGCGAGACAGGCTGTCGACATCCTCCTTCTGTTGGCGCGCCGAGACGCTCTTCCCCGTCAGACCGCAGGTGTATGCGTCCTTGGACTCGGCGTAAGGGGACCGGCCGTGTTTCTCGTCGAGCACGAAGTCGCATATGGGCACGGTGTCTGGGATTTCGGGCAACGGGGGCACCCATTTCATGGGATAGAAGACCATGGTTGCGGATGTTTATCGAGGAAGAGATCTCAACGACCAAAAGGGCACTTTTGTGCGAGAACGCCAAAAGGTGATGCACTGCGGCCGCAGCTGTCAGTGGAAATCCAGTGACAGCTTTTTCCGGAGGAGATGAAGTGCCCTTGGGTTTTCCCTCTCTTTCTCCCTTTGGCGCGCACAGGCTTCAGATGAAGACACTCCGATGATGAAAGAAGCAGCACCAGATCTCGACGGCAGAAAAACCAACAACCCCCAAAGGCACAAGATCAGTTGGCAGCGGAACCACCTTCGGCCGAGAAAGCTCCATGGAATTGGGATTGCGCGATAGGGTAGATGACAGTCAGCCTTCCTTTACCCGAGGCACACGCTCAGAGTTAGTGGTCCAGACACCCTCTTACCCCAGAGCTAGGGCCTAAAGCTTCCCCGTCATTGACCTGTCAGGGGCGTTGCCGTAGCTTTGCCGGGCACCTTACCCAGCGATTGGGGGGCGCTTGTTCCGAGTCTCATGAAGCCCCCAGTAGCCCCGGTGGACGCCCGGTGGGAGGCCGGTGGCCCCCGTGCAGCTTTCCTCCCCCCAAGAAGTAAAATGTAGGGGCATCAGAAGTGCCCGTTGTCCGGGTGCGGGGAAGTCGGCAAATGCATCAACCAGGCGAACGAACATCTCCTTGCTACAACTGGGCGACCTTCCAGCATGTTCAACTTGGGCGGCGTGATTCCGCTTCCTTTTCAAAAAATCGTGACAAGTAAACGAAGAGCTGTCGTAGAAGGAGGACGGGCGCTATTGTCCCATTATATAAAGGATGGACGACTGAATCTGACAAGTTCGACACAATAAGGGGCACCCGACTTCTGGGAAACATATTTCCGTGTGCTTCCTCGCTCTTATCAAGCGCCCTGCAGCTTGTGTTACCCTGGAAGCTGCCAGGACTTTTGATCGAACCAATCAACCACGTTGACGTATCCCTTGGAGAATTATATTTGTGAGACGACTGATAACACGGCGAGTGTGGACTATATCGGAATAATGCGTATTCGAAAACGAGATGCCCTTTAATGCCCACGTTCAAGCGCCCTGACTTGAATGCGCACTCTTCGGACAGCAGATACTTGTGAACGAGTCCAAGTGGCCTCAAAACTCCGTGTGAAATATTGATGCTTCATAGACGAGCGGTTCTGTCACGTGCCATTGGACTCTTGACAGAAAGTATTCAAGTCACAGAGACGAAGAGGATCCGTTTCTGTGTACCGAGTACGAGTGGTTGACTGGTAAACTGATTTGGTTCCAAGCAGAAACCAGTCCCAATCCAAGTCGACACCATTCAGAACCCCTTATCCTGATCAACGAGGCTGAGATCGCAAATCCCGTGTTTCAGAATCCCCGGATTTCGTCATCGGTGTAACTGTCCAAGTCTGTCGAGACTCGACAGGGGCCACGAAACACCGTATTCCACTCAACCGATATGAGTGACAGAATCCTATGGGCGCTGACCCGTCTCAGCTGCTCGTAGAACCCTCCCTCAGAGATTAATCCGACGATCACTCGGGAGTTCTCGTTGCACCTTTTTAGCCGCGCGGTCAAACTCGCAGACACTTGATCTTGGAGGATTGGCGAGATGATATGGAGAATTCCCAGAGATGAAGTTGTGGGCAACCCAATCATCTCCCAATGGCTGAACGGCAGCCTTGGTTTGTGTTGGCCTCATAGAAAGCAGGAGGAATGACGTAGGAGGAGGCTGATCCAACTAAAGACTCACCCGCTACGTGCCGCCTGATCTCCCACAACCTCGTTTCCCGCAAATTAAACATGTCTTGTTGTGAAACAGAGTGGTTCTCACGTGCTGTCGAGAGATGGCCGAGTCGCCTCGCATTATTCCTGCAACAACTCTGAAAATGTTTGGCGTTGAAATGACCGTTTTGGGATCCAGGAGGTGTACCGAGTGCCCCGTACCCAGACGAATACCCCCGAAGAAGTTTACCGGCATGGAAGGGAGAGGTTGGTCGAGAGAAGCCATGTGGAACAGGGTACAATGTATACACCGGAAGCCCTGGGGGTTATGCTCATGGCGCTCCCCTTGTCCTCCGCACATAACTTTTGTCACATCAACAACTCCCCCTGCCTGGCGAACAATCTAAGTTCCCCCGAGCTTGATGTGCTCTGGGTGGATTATGACACCGGGCACAGCTCATCCAAGACCAGCTATTTCCCTCCATTCAGTGCGCTTCACGAGCCTCAGCCAAAGAAACTACCAGCATTGCGAGCAGGTTACTCGGATTGATCTGAAAGCTGTGGCTGGAGCCTTCAATCACGCCATGCAGCCTGCAGATGCCGGTAACTTGGGGCACCTGCGGACACATGCCGGGACTCGGGAGGCACTGGAAGCAAGTCTCCTGTCAAGTTCCTCTTCCATACGGAGGATCTAGTCGCAGTGACTCGCAGCAAAATGGTTTCAACAAAGAAATCGAGAGGCTGGTATGCCGAGTCTGCACACGTGCATATCTTCAGGCAATCCATCCAGTCTAGACCTTCCCCTTAGACCAATCAGTTGCCATCCAGACTTTCCGCTGACTTTCGTCTAACTTTTGATCTGGGCTCCGGAAGAGCAAGACCGTGCTGCATGCACGTCAAAATGTACCACCTGATGGGTATATCGGTGGGCTTGCCTGTGCTATTGCCCGAAGAAGAAGGAACCTCGCTTCGCTATCTGCCTCCCTTTGTCAAACGGTGGCTGGCCAAGCATCAAGAAGCACCTTACTCGGCAGGACTTGTCTACTCGGTAGATTATGTGTTGTGAGAATTTTTGGCTGTATGTACCTAGTAGTGAGCCGTCGGGGTCGACGAGGATGGCGAGGACAGCAAATCATCCCCGCCCCCGCAGTTTGAAGGTGGTGTCGACAGGAACTCAATTCACAAGGTTTCATGTTGTTGAGGGACCACTAGTTGCATCGCAACCTCGCACGTCTTTGTTATTACGCAGTAGATACGAAGCCACCGCGGCGGCGGCAATTGGAGATGAGACATAGCCAGTGATCAAGCAAGTTGGCCATGCAGATGGTCTGTAAGCGAACCACTCACGCCTGTGTGCGTAGCTTGGAGTGAGACGGGGCGATCAAGTAGACTAGATAGCTTCAAGGGTTCTTACTAACTTCTCACACATGTTTTTGCCACAAGCTTCCAAAGCATTGTGCTCGACAGTGCACCCTGGGAAATTGCGAATATGTGGGGTCTAAGTAGACGGTGAAAGAAATGATAGCGATTCGCCCTAAGCTGTGGTACAATACCATCGAAGGACATGGTGGTGGATCCTCGGGTCTGAAGAGATGGCAGAGAGCAGAGTCCTCTAAACATATTCACTGGAACGGGCAAATCGTGAGGTCGGCATGCTGCTATGCTTTCCTGACGGTGATTTCCAGGCCGGGCCCTAGCACTGCAGGCGCCACATCGCGAAGACGCACTGCATCATGCAGCAGCGGCAACCAAAGCGGAATCAGGCCAATCAACACACGGGCAGTGGCCGACCATCGGGTTTTGGTCATGGCGTTGCACATGGAGCATATGGTTTCCAAGATTTTTGACCGTCAGAGGATCGTCTCGTTGTGTTTCGTCCCGCAATGATTGTGCGCCAGCAAGCTTCCCAACAGGCCGGAAATGTCGGCAACCAGACATGTCAAGCGACCACCTGCGGGCCAAGCAGGAACAGTGTGGATCCCAGGGTGGTACGGAGTACACCAACTGCACCATGGCTATCGCATGATACTTGACTTGCAGCAGAGACTTTGAGATAGCAACAAACCGAAGAGTTTTGGGTCAGGTCTCCGGGGCCGGAAAGATCTGAAGGAAAGATCGACGAGCCTTGCAGTGGCGTCGAAATGCAGAAAAAGGGTCTGTGCTAGAATATGCCTTGCTGCAAGATAAGAAGAGGTGTGTGAATTCAGTTCATCGAGGTGCATGCTCGAACCGACCTGGCATTGGCCACCCAGCAACCAATGGACTGCACAGTTTCTCCAGACAACAGGAAGGATAGAGTAAGTTTTTGGGGTTTACCCCAACAAGCAGGAGCAATTTGATATGTAGCTGAGCTAAAAGCCGTTTTGGGCGGAGACGCAACGAGGAAATCTGCTCAGGGAAATAATATGATCAGACGCAGGACGTAGGTATACGAATGTAGCATCAACAATACCCAATATTACTGTGTACGGAAGTACGCAGGCCGCGGTGATTGTATCAAAACATACCTACTAGGTAGGTAGATATGGGAAGGATAGTTTTACCTTCCCGGAGTGACAAGGGGGGGTCATATAGATAGGTACAGGCGAGCGGGCAGGATTTGTTCTGATCAGGGATTCGAGGGGCGGGAAAGGGCAGGTGTGTGCGGGAAGAGGGACGAGGAGGGGACATTCAGGAAATGTACGGAGTACGAGGTAAGGACAAGTAACAATGGTTTTTTTCCCTTGCTGTTAGCTCCAAACAGTGACATGCATGGATGCCACCCAGATGCTAACCGGGGCGCATCGAGTAGTGGTGGCTGCGGTGGCGGTGGTGTTTGACCAAGTCGAGGTCGAGGCGTCACTGACTTTGGACTGGCTTCGTTCTGCATGGCTCCGGATCAATGAGCGTGTGAGTCTGTTCATGTCCATTTGTCGACAATGTCCGCTCGCACCAGCACAATCCTGTGTCCTTGTAATAATATTATAATAATAATAATAATAATAATAATCAAAGACGCCCTCCAGCTCGACTCTGCCTGTCATTCATTCACTCATGTTGATCCTTGATCGTTGATCTGGGAACCCACACCTGGGTGCTCGTTGTTGTGTAACAGGATCCCACCCCATTCAGGCCCGTGGCCCGTCACCAGATACGTCCACCTCAGGATCCACCCCGGAAATAGGACTGTCGTCTAATTATCACTGGATTCACTGCTGGGTCACTCACTGCTCTTCTACCGACTTGGTCAGTCTCTCCTGCAACCTGCGTCCTGCGTCCTGCGTCTTGCATCTTGCGTCTTGCGTCTGCTGCAAGTCCTTTGCGATACCCTTGCTTGTTACCCTCTCCGCTTGCCCATCTTGTCTTAATGGCCCAGTTCACTCGCTAGCACCCGCGCCTCCTCTCTCCCTTCAACTCTCGCTAGCTCAACTGCTGCTTGCTGCTGCCAACATCTGCGCGCCAACTCCGTTCTTTCAGGATTTTGTTTCCATCTCCCGTCAATTCGCTGTTGCAACACCAGTCTCATCTTCGCTATCTGCAGCCTGTACGCATAATTCTCATACGAACGAATAGACCACTCAAACCTCCCTCCATAGAGCTGCCTTGTCACATCTCCTGCTCTGCTTGGTAGACATCCACGCTCTGTTCCCCTCGACCAACGTCCATGTCCATACGCACACCCGCGCTTGTCACCCTGTTCATCTGCTCCAACACCTCTCGGTCATCTATCTCTCACCTCAAACTCAGCGATTAGGCACCGAATAGTCGGCCTGGGATTCAAAAGAAGAGAGACCCAGCCCGCTCTGCAAGCCCCCGTCTGCCCTCTTCACTGAGTCGAGTTGGACCAGACTCTCCACACAAAAGCAACCTTGTTCAACAGACCTCTAATGCAATAATCGTCCGATCGAAACACTGTCACCGACCGACTGTACGATTTCGTGGGCGAATCTTTTGATGTGTGGTTGAGGAAAAGCATTGCGATGCAGTAATAGGTGGAATACTCCTACCGCAACAGGCTCAAGCCAATCCTTCACAATGGTCGCTTCAACACCAGTGGGCTCCTTCTGGACCGTCCTGTTCTTGTGCACGGCCTTCCTCTCGCTCTGGTCTACACCGTGTCACGGTCTCGACATCTCTTATTGCTCTCCGGACAACAACGCGGGCACTTACCAAGGTCGTGAGTACTTCACTCCAAGTTTTTGCGAAAATGCACCAATCGCTGATGTCCACTTCCAGAATACAACGAGTTCCAATCAAATGGAGCCTGTCAAGTGCAATGTCAGGGTTCTTTTGCCTTTGCCGTCCTCCAAGGCTACTACTGCTGGTGCTCAAACTACATCCCTTCTCCGCAGGAAAGCACGTACAACTGCAACCAGCAATGTCCTGGCTTTGACACGGAATGGTGTGGCAACACCGACTCTGGCCTTTATGGATACTACCTCTTGAGTGCTGGAGTCCCTCTAGGAACCTCTGGTTCGACGTCCAGTACACCCTCCACAACATCATCCCCTTCCTCAAGTCCCTCGTCGTCGGTTAGTATTGATACCTCCACCTCCACCGTCACTTCCAATTCCGTATCCGCATCCACGTCCTCCTTGGATATTGGAACTCCCACTTCCTCCCCTGATCCCGATACCTGGATAGTCTCCCGTTCCTCTTCTTCTGTGGTAACATATGGATCATCTCAGAGTTCTGACGTGGCTGGCGTTGTGACTTGGTCAAGCGACACCTCGATGAGCTCAGTGAGCTCCACTGTATGATATCCCATTCCCTTGTTACTGATCTGTTTCATACCCTGTTGGGAAGGAAATATCATGATGCACTTCTTTCCAGACTCGTGTGCGACGCTCTAGTGCGAAGCTGACCAGTATCGCAGATTCCCACCTCGACTCCGTCACCATCGACGACAAATCCACCGCCGAGTTCGAGCCCAAGCCCAAGCTCAGGCTCAAGCAGCCCAACGCCGACCGCAGTCTACACCAGTGTCACCACTGTAACGGGCGAAGTTCGAACGGTGGTTGTGACCCCATCTCCAGCTGCCACCTCGGATGCCACACTCGGCCAGAGTTCCACTGCGGGTGGCAGCGGCGTCAGCACTGGCAAGGTTGTTGGCATAGTGCTTGGCGTTGCTTTGGGCATCGGCGGTCTGATCGGAACTGCGGTGTACTTCTGGTTTCGCCGACGCCACAGGAAATTACAGCAAGAAGGCGGACCGGAAACGGCATATGTTCCTCGGACAGGCGACACTTCGCCATCCAACAATGTCCCGTCACGGCAAGTTAGTCAGTTGTCGTCGTCAGGCTTATTAGGGACTAAGATTCCCCGCATCAACACGTCTGGAGTCACTCTGGGCAATGACCTGCGAAGCGCCGACACTGGCTCGACGGGCTTTGACCGTCGCAGCCTGGGCACCGACCAGCGACTGAACCCGTATGCGTTGTACATCCACGACGAGAGCCGCCTTAGCAATGTGTCTCTTCAAGACAACCAGGATTATTCCAGGCAGCTACGGGTGAGCATCCGTGCCTGAACCCACCTATTTGCCAATTGCTGATGTCGATATAGGTGGCCAATCCAGACCCTTGAAACACCAATATCATGGTCGACGTCCGATTAGGTAATACTAATCTTTAATGAGAAACCGCACAGTGAACAAAAGGAGAGGAATGTGCGCCTCGAGGAAACGAATTCTACGATGAGACGAGATGTCGCTTTGGCGACCTGCAACAGTTGGTACACGCATCCGTGAATCGGAATTGGAGGCGTTCTGTGGGCGCATTGTACATTTTAGCATAGCAAAAGATGGCGCATAGCCAAAGGATGCGCAGCGAGGACGTGTACGCATTCCAACCAGGCGTTCGAGATATGGGAGAGGGCACCTTCAGCGGGACGCCGGTTGACGCCCATGGCGCCCATAGCGCCCATAGGTATGAGCGTCGCAGCATCTTTGCATCGTGTCCAAGGGCGGGAACATTGGGCGACCACGTCGATCTGTACAGGACCTGGTCTGAGTTCTTTTTCGCCAGGTCTACTTGTAGGTTTGGACCGAGGAAGGCATATGGGTCTATATAGATGAAGACAAAAGTTGGCTCCCCCTGTGTCCCCTAGTCGAAGCCAGGTGTACTCGGTACACCGTAGAAAGAGGTGGCGATCTGAAACGCTGAGGTGGTGGGAATATGTAATTAGGCTGACGGGGCTTTTGGTGGTTGATGCCCAAAGCCCACGTCAGAATCAAGAATCGGCAAGGCTGTTGATACCCTGTGTGGTGGCAGCGGGTACGGACCCTTTGGGCTTGTGCACACGAGCATCTTTCAGGCTGAAGTTTGGCTCGTCGGGCTTCGGCCCAGCCCGCAACCCAGAATTTGATACTTGCAGTGCAGGGGCAGCGAAGCCGAGGTGGGCTCCAAGTTGGACGTTCGGTACCCTGAAGCGACTGACTATCGATCGAGAAGGGAGAACAACAGCCTAGCCGTCCTCTTGGAGCGAAAATTCCAGAAGAAAAAGGATACCTGGGTAACCATGTGGGTTGCTGGTGTCGAGTAAAGAGACCGGCTCGCATCACTGCCCAAGGCTACCTGTTTCTACATTGGTACGAGGTATCTGCCTATCTACCTAGGTAGTACTACTACCACGTTATTGATCTCCATACCTATCGCCTGGCAGCTCCTGGCACTGGTTCACCACCTAGGTAGGTACTAACCAGTGAGCAAATGCGACACCCACGTACGAGTCGTCGTAGGCCTTAGCACATAGCCTAGTGGCCGCAGGTTGATGCCCCCCGCGCCGCCCGTGGCCCCTCCATCGGGTCTGGGACTCTGGGTGTTCTTCCTGGGTTTTTTCTTCTCCCATGCACCAAAAAGCCCCCTTTGATGCCCCCCAGCAAAAGTCATTGGGCTCGCGTGCATAACACTACGTCACCTGCCCAGCTCGAGTCACTGGCTGTCGGTGCCCGTCATCGCCCCTTGAAGCCTTTGGAGCTTTCTGTACCATCACATCGAGGTCCTCTGTCTCGTCGCTTGTGAGGGAACTCGGTAACTGGCAGCGGGAGGCCAGTGGGAGAATTGGATAAGTTGGAGATTGTGAAAAAAGCCCTGTGCTGTGGTGTGCTGTAAAGTGTTGCGTGTGGGCATGCGCCTCGTCTGCACAGAGCACCCTCCACACTCACACATGCACATGTCCCCAGTTGGCATCCAGTGAGCAAGCCGCAGTCGAGTTGCAGACTTGCAGTCCAACTGTCCAACTGTCCAACTGTCCAGGTCCCACCCAAACTAGGCTCAACTCCTCAGCTGGGCTTCTTCTCACCTCACCACCTGCGTAATAACTCAACCACACCCCCATCGTCCTCTTGACTCTCTTTCCTCAAATTCTCTTTTCAACGTTGGCAGCCTGCATTTGTGCTTCTAGTTCTTCGTCTTGCTCTGGTTGGTGTAACAGCCTTTCTCTTGCACTAGTGCACTTGACTTTACGACTTGCATCCTTGAACAGTCACCCATTCAGGCAAAGATTTCACCTGCACCCCCCTCGGTCCACGAGTCACGACTAGGTTTGCCCGCACAGCGAGCCGCAACCACCTGAACGCCAGTGTCCTCTCAGTCTCTTTCAAACCCCGTAGGCTCGCCCTGTCATGGCAGGACGCCGGTACGCCGATGATGTATCCATTTACGAAGATCGTCGAGAAAGTTACTCCCGAAACGGTCGACGATACTACGATGACCGGTACCTGGAAGAAGAGGTAGACTATCGTCGCCCCGCTGTCCGTGAACGAGAAAGAGAAACTATTGTACGAGAAGAAGTCCGTGAGCGGCCAGGGTCTACTCCTGCTTTCCTGCAAGAGGGTTACGGCCGAACCACTGCTGGGCCGGTGGTCCTTAGAAAGCGAGAACAAGAAGACTTCGAGTTCGCTGCTCGACCTCGTCGGCGATCCCCCTCTCCCCAGCCAGAGCGAAAAGTCGAAAAGGAGGAGATCATCATCAGGAGAGACGAGTCGGAAGCAAGACCTCCACCACGAATAAGAGAGCGGGAGCGTGAGGTCGACCGTGAAGAGATCATCATCCGCCGAGACGAGCGGGAGCCCGAGCGCAGACTGCCACCTCCCCAACGTGATCGAGATCGGGAGGAAATCATCATTCGAAGAGACGAGCGAGAACGAGAGACGCGGCCACCACCGCCCAGGGAAATAAATTCTTCCAGAGAGGAAATTGTCATCCGCCGCGATGAGCGAGAGCGCGAGGTGCGCCCACCGCCACCGAGAGAGGTCAACTCCTCGAGGGAGGAAATTGTGATTCGCCGTGACGAGAGAGAGCGCGAGGTGAGACCACCCCCGCCCAGAGAGGTCAAGTCCTCGAGGGAAGAAATTGTCATTCGTCGCGATGAGGATGACCGACGCTCTCGCTATGACGACTATGAGGATGTAATCTCTCGCCGGGATTTCGACACCAGGTCCGTCCGAGGCGACGTCGACCGGCAAGAAATCATCATCCGCCGCGATGAGCAGAATCTTGACGCCCGCCGATATGACGACTACGCACTGACTCGTCCCAAATCGCATGAACGAGCGAGGTCGAGAGCTCGACGTTCCAGCAGTGCTTCGAACGATGAAATCATCATCCGGCAACAGGAGCGACAAGGACGCAGCGGCACCACCAACCAACAGGAAATTATCATTCGTAAGAGCTCTCGGTCTCGGTCTCCTGCTACGTCGGTGACCTCAGCTCGCACTGCCCCGGCGCCTCTGCCTCCTCCAGAGCCTCCGGTCATCAACGCTCCCACCATTCACCAGGAGGTCATAACACATCATCGCCATATCGACCATGGCTTTGAAGTTGCGATCCCAACCCGACCGCGAGTGATTTCACGACCACCGTCGCCGCCAAGCCCGCCCGTACGAGCTCGATCAGAAGAGCGTATCGAGATTAGCAGAACTCAAACGCGCAATGGTCGGACCGAGAATGAGGATATCGTGATAGATCGCAGGGACGGTCCAGCCAGCCCGCAAAGCGTTGCGCCGTACGTTCCTCCACCCGCACGTGATCCGTATTACGATCCTCCACCTGCGCGCCGCGACGTCTATCGGGGCTATGAACGCGATGTGCACGAAGAAGCAGAGTACTATAACGGTCGTGCAATGGATCGAGCTTACATCGGCGAAGCCTATCAAGGAGCCACCCGTGACTGGGAAATTGTCGATGTTCCCCCGGGTACACGTCGTGTGCGAATGGACGGAGCTGGTGGGGCGAGTCAGGAGATTACCTGGCAAAGATACAATGGCGTCCGGAGAAGCAAGTTCATGCCTGATGGAGTTGATGATCGGTACGACAGCTCAGTTGCAAGACCCCTTCCAGCTCCTGCACCGCTCCCTGCGCCAATTCCAACCCCTTCCCCCGCTCCACTGCCAGCAGCCAATGGGGACATTGGTCGTCGTTACGGGAAGGAGCGTGATCCCAAGGACGGCTTGTGGACCGAGGTGACCAAGGATCTTGTTGTCAAGGAGGCGATTCAAGAAATGGGATATGAATATGAGGAGACTGACGACTTCTACTACATTATCGCGTATCTCCGTTACGTGAGTTTGGCACCGCCCGAGATTTGCTGCTTGGAGAGTTACTAACGGTGTACCAGGAAGACATTGCTCGTCTGGTAGGTCTGTCGGACGACATTCGCAAAGAGCGCCGGAAGCGGATCAAAGAAATTGAGTGGGAAAATCGAGTGCTCCCTCCCCCGGTGGATGACCCGCTGCCACGGCCTCTGGTCATCGAACCTCCTCCGCCACGGCACCGGCAGGAGTGGGATCGAGAAGAAGAGCGCTTCATTGAGCGGGAAGTCGTCTACAGAGGGGGTCGACCACCTCCTCCACCGGGATGGAGGCGTTGAATTTCTAAGAAGCAATTTAGATTCGGATTTATGGATGACATGATTGTCCAAGATATGACTGGCCATGAATTGAATGGATGGAGACGAATTTCCTTTGTTGGTTTGGTTGGATAGCATTTCAGCAAGCGTGAGTTGAGTTCTCCTTGACAGAGCAATGAAAGAATGAGAAGACAAGAGAAATGAAACAAGAGAAATGATTTATGCCCGACATATGAATGCATCTCCAATTAATCTCAGGCTGGATGAGTCGAGGAGGAGGATGGATATATGTGCCCGTGGCAAAGTGGACTTTCACACGTGGTACCTACCGTTGGTACGGATTGACAAGAATACGAAGTCGAAGAAAATGATGATGATGATGATGATGATGATGATCATGGTGTGATGACGAACTACCCTCGAAACAGAGAGATTTTCCAATCCCCTGGAGGTCAATCTGCCTTGTCTGTCTGTACCGCTTCCTCACAACCATATTCTTGCTTTTTGCTCCCCTCGTGCATAAACACGAGGTACACGATACACGATGCTGAACCCTCCTCCCCTCCCGGTGCATGATGGGATATGACGGCCGACCGCTTTAACTCGGTCATTCTATCGCCATGTCACGACATGACATGGAACATGACTACGCATAGGTAGAGAGGGAGATTTGGATCTTCAGAGGTCGAAGAATCCCTCATCATTTTACCCCAGCATAGGGAGTTGTTGTGCCCAGGAGAGTCAAAAGACATGATCGCCTGCCGCGTCTCTGTTTTGGGCCATACCAAACTACCAGGTATTTACCCGCGATGCGGGTTTTCGTAGATATGTCCAGAAAGCTGGAGGACGGGCGGGCCCAAATTGATACAATTCATAAGAGGGGCGCACGGCCGGTCATTTCTGAGGCTGAGCGACGCCTCTACCTTCCCTGGCGCTGTGCGCAGGGTGGGTTTCGGATTCCGCTTGCCTTGCATAGATAGAGGGCGTCCATTTGTCCTCTCCTCCTGGATTTTCGTTGTGCCAAAAAAAACTCGTGATCCGCTCCTTTGTTATCCCGCTTTGAGTGAGTGAGTGACACCACCAGGAACCTCAGGTGGACCTTATAACTACCTATTAGGTAGTAGTAGATAAGGAGGAAGGAAGTGGCGTTCTCGGGAATAAGCCTCGGCACGGAAAGAGGAGGGAGGAAGGGAGGGAGGGAAGGCTCGGGGCGGTCTTGTCTAGCGTACGGCTTCCGCATCGCTGTCTCAAGCCCTTAAAGCCTCTCTCTCTAACCCCCAAGAAAATGCCGAATTTTTCGATACGGACAAAGACTTATATACCTGACTTAGTTGTTTTCCAATAACCTCACAGGTAGGTCGATCAAGTCTGGGAGATGAATAGATGTTCAAAACGGGTTTGGGGGATCTCACAACAATGAGAAAGGTACTTCTTTTTCCCTGGCTTCGAATCATAAACTCCTTATTGCTCGTCGATGGCCGTTCTGTCATGTCCCTCGCAGCGAGGGGATAAATGCCGGCATACAGGATACATCTACTCCGTACATAGATAGCTATACAAACTCGTCAGGCGACATTTGCTGCGCGCCGAGCAAGTGCCTCAGCGGGCGTTTCAAACTGGGCTCTTGGGATAGTGATAATCGGCTTCCCTTCGACTGCCGGCGCGGTCCCCTTCCTCCTCGTCCTTGATCTCGATGCTCGTGCTGACGTAGATCTGTTTGTTGGTGTTGAGCTCCTCTTGGCTGGAGCTGTCATTCGCCCAGAATGTGTCTGTGACGCTGCTCATTTTGTCCTTCCATCGCCGGGTCTGTCCGCCGGCAGAGACCTTGGTGGGGAGATGTCCCATCTCAATGTCCCCGTTGGCGGCTCGGCTGTCGCGGTTGTTGGTTCCCATGGTAGTGCTTCCAGGAGCAGTTCCCTGTTTGGCATAGCCGTGGCTTGCGTAGCCGTACGTCGGAGGCATGCCGCTCTGCTTGGACGTGTTCTTGCGTGACGAGTGTGCTTCTTTGGCCTTGGAATACAGACCGGGGCAACAGCCCACCATGATGACAACAGCCGACTCGACAATCGCCCACAAGGCGAGCCATGACGAGGACGGGGTCGAATGCCCCTGTGTTTTGACTCCAATTTGGACCACACGGATTGTGGCGAAGATGATACAGATCAACCCGACGCAGAAGAGAGCTCCAATGCCGACCTTTTGCGCTGTCGGCCGTTGTAATTTCCAGATCAGACGTAGAGGGAGGAACATGACTGGAAAGTGAAGAACAGGAAGTCAGCAACCTGGACGCATCGACCATGGCAGGGGTGACTTGGGCTTACTGAAGAGATCCGACAAGACGTCAACCGCGTACGCGTAATATAGCGAGGCAATTTGAGCATCTACATCTCTTTTCTCGGTGCATAACCCTGGCGTAAACCATGCATGCATGCTGTGGCAGCTGGTAAAGTTCGTAATGACACAACCAATCAAGGTCTGAACAGCACAGTCAGTGGATGACGAAGCAGGATTGAATCTTCGTGTGAGGAGGACAAACCCCTCATAGAAGAGAGATTGGCTCTTACCAAGACGCAAAATCCAACGGCCGCCCACCAGAGCTTCAAGTACATCGGAATGCCCATCATCAGTCGGCGATAGAGGCACAGGAAAGCAAATTTGACCGAATATAGCGTAAACCAGAAGATCATAGTGTTGGCGAAGAAGATCTTGATCATAAAGAGGGAGTCGGCCAGGATCGTGGGGTAAATTGGTATCTTGCCCGTTGTTGCGTCGGTGACCCGGAACATGGTCGGGGCTAAGACGATATACATGATGGTGAGGGAGAGAAAGAAGAGGTAGGCAAGCAGAAGGAAGAAATCCTCGGCCACGAATCTTTTCGGTTGACGGACTCTCACCAGCGCCCTGGCCAAAAAGACAACGGTGGTGATTCCAAGCATCGAGTATGCCACCCCAAGCAGCACCCTTTGAGAGACATAGTTTTGCGAGGACGACATGGTTGGGATGCAAGAGTGATGCTCGAGGTTGACAAGGCTGCTGGTTTGCTGGGCAAACCCCAAGCCTCAGAAGACAGCGACAATCAGTAGACAGCCGAAAAGAAGGAACGGGGAGGAGAAAGGGCCTTCTCTCAAATATGGGGAGATGGAGGACATTTTCTCTCCTTACAAACGTCCATAAACATTTCTCTACCACGAAACGGTTTTGGTGCGACGCACGATGGGACAAGCGAGGTCGACTCGAGCTTGAGACCGGTTGAGAACTCTGCCCATGCCATGGTCTGTGGCGAAAACTTCGACAGTCTGGAGAGATGCAGTTAGGCACCTGGTATACTGGGTCAACACCACTAGTGTGGGTATTGGGCGTTGGCACCGGTAGCAGAAGACTCAGGGGTCCGACAGCGGTTTGGTGCTAAGTGATCCTTGGTTGAAGGCAAAAGAAAGCCAAAGCTGGCCTTAGGCTCTGCTGGAAGACGGATGACTCCGGGTTGTCACGATCGCCTTGGATCTGCCGGGTGCGGCGTCGAGGGAAAGTGAATGAATCCATCTTTCTTTCAGTTCTCTTCTCCTTTGCGTCTCTGCTTTCCGACTCTCTGCTTCTCTGGCCCCCCACAACAAGAGAGAAACAATGGGGATATGCTGCACTCCATTCAATCTTAAGCTTGGGATCTGAGGAGCTGTAAGAATCAAGTGCCTCTCTCATAGCGCTGTGCCGCCCATAAGGTTGGAAAGAGTACCTCGGACGCCGGCCAAGAATCTTCAGCACTATCGAGGCCTCTCAAACTGCGACCTGCTCATGGTACCTCAGGCTAACCCTTAATCTTCCAAGATCGACACTGGCCCGCTTTCCAGCATGGCCGTTACTGAAGCTAGCCAGAATATCGATAGAACGCCGGTGCATGAATGAATACAAAACCCACTTGGTGCAAGACAGAATGTTGCATTAGACGTGTCGGCCCAAAGCTTAAATGTCTCCAGTGCGCCGAGCCGAAGTCCGGGGGATCGGGGGATCGGGTCAACAAGGGTAGCCTCGTTACAAGTCGCCGTGGCCAGGCGTGCCAGGTCGACAAATTTTCATGTGCGCCTCTGCGAAGTGCATGACAAGTACCTACCTACTAGTGAGTACGAGTAGGTAGGTAGGAAGACAAGTCCGTACTCGCGCGAGGGCCAGCCTTCCGGTACAAGTAGAAGAGCAACTCTGGGACGAGCGACGCTTGCTGGCTTGGGCACTTGCTACCTAGGTAGGTAAGGAGAGGTGGCCCGAACTCCGGCTTGATCCAGAGTCTTCTCGCTTCCGTGTGTATGGTGTCGATGAGCGAAGATAGGGTCGAAGACTCGAAGGCGCCATTAGTTGTGAAACGACTGTGCAGAGAGTTGGGTCAATTGGTGATTGCCGGCTCGGTTGAAGTCGAGAATCTCGGCCGCAGGTGCCAAGCGATCAGGTGACTACGCTAGTGCCAATGAGGCTAGTGTATTTTAGCTGCCTGAGGTCGGGATTCAGGGGTTACTACTTACTACGAGGTACTAGGTACTAGCTGGGTGACTAGGTATATCAAAGGCTGATCCCTCGGCATTCCATGGCACAATCTAACATTTGGGGTCTAGGGATGCAACACAGCAGTAGGCGAGATGCCTAGTCCTCTGCTTAGCTTTTCAACTCTTTCCTACCATCAGGTATGGCACTTCCACGTTTCCAGCTTCAAGAAGTGAGGACCATGTACCTCGTATAACCACCCTCGCGTATTTCCTCCTCGCCTTTCATGTCCCGCCAGCCTCTCCAGCCTTTGCGGCACTGCCTTGCGGCAAGAATCATAAAAGAAGAGACTCAAGACGTCGGCGACTCGGCGTGCATTCCGAACTCTCCATCTCATGCGCAATTTCCATGGGAGCCGATCCTCACTAGTTCTGGCCCTGGTTCGCTAGACTGCATTGAGCCGTTAAACCGCAAGTCTAGGTTGGCAGTATTACATGAGTCAGGTTTAGTTCCAGGGACAGCAACCATCTTCCATGTTCAACACGGGATGAACTGACTCTGCTCATTCCCGAATCTCCGCAAGAAAAGCTAGGCAACGCCAGTGTCTCCGAACGTGGCAGACACCAGACTCCAAACTCGGGAGGTTTTGGATCTTATATCGAACCATTGAATTCCAACACCCACTTGTTTCTCTCAAGTCCACCTTGTCTGGTTTTCGACACATGGCATGAGAATATCCAGCGACTGTCAAAGCGCTATTTTGCCACGCGACAGGTCCACATCGCTAGTATCCAGTCCTTCTACTCGGTACAACGTCTTCTGTGGAGAGCCTTGTTGCAGACGAGATACACCTAAGGAGGAGTTATTGCGTGGTCGACGAAATTTGATCTGACATTTCGGAGGTGTGGGCACCACCAAAAGACTGACCCTGGCCAACGTAAGTAGCCGGCCTGTTCTCTTCAATCCCAGTTCTCTGGCTTCATCTTCTGCATCTGAATTCATCGGCTTTTGTGGATTGTCAAGCTGGCAGAGCTTAGGCCCACGCTCAAGTCTGCTTTTACTTCTTGGCAGGTGTAAAGCGAGCATTAATCACTGCATCCACAAGGTCACAGAAGTCTTCTAGAACCCATTTTCCCCTCGTTTCTCTCCTATTTTTCTTCCCCCATCATGCGCTTCTCTCTGCACGTGGCCGCCATCAGCCTGGGGTCTGCAGCATTCGCCGCCGCTCAGAACAACACCTTTGAGCCACCCGATTTCAATGTTACCGAAGCCCTCATTAACCAGGGCGTCAACGTATCGGCGTTGCCAGAGCTGGATTCCTTGACCAAGAGATCCTCTTTATCTGCGTGCTCGATTGCGGTGAGTCTCCATCTAACTCAACACATCGTCGACGTTTCAAGATTCGGCAGAGTATCTCACTGGCTTACATTCTGACTCCTTTCACCAGTGTGATACTCTCAGTATTCTCTTCGGATCATCGAACGTGATTGAGCAAGGCAATCAAGCATACAACTCCTTCACCAATGCCTACTGGTCCGTTCAGCAAGAAAGTGTCGATCCTTACTGCATCTACAAGCCGACCAGTGCGGCCCAAGTGTCGATAGCAATCTTGCTCTCCCGACTCACTCAATGTCCCTTTGCAGTCAAGTCTGGCGGGCATGCCGCCTTCGCCGGCGCGTCCAACATCCAGGGAGGTATCACCATCTCACTCGAGAAGATCAACGAGATCCAACTTTCCTCGAACCAGCAGACCGCCGATGTTGGCCCTGGTAACACATGGTACACCGTGTACACCACCCTTCAGCCTGCCGGTGTAACGCCGATTGGCGGCCGTGTCTCAGCCATTGGAGTGGGTGGTCTGACAACTGGCGGTGGTATTTCTTTCTTCTCCAACATCTACGGCTGGGCCTGTGACAATGTCGTCAGCTACGAAGTTGTCACCGCGTCCGGTATCATCATTACTGCCAGCGCCACCCAGAACCCGGATCTGTACTTCGCCCTACGTGGCGGTGGCAACAACTTTGGCATCGTGACCAAATTCACATTGAACGTCATTCCTCTTCCTGGCGGTTTGATGTGGGGTGGCGGCCGCGTGTCCACCGAAGACCAATTCGACGCTCTCGTCGACGCCTTCTACAATGTTGGTATCAACTCACCCTCGGATCCCAATGCCGCACAGATCCTTTCGTTCGCATATGCACAATCTGCCAATCTCAGCGTCGCCGCTGCCGACCTTCAATACGCAAAACCCGTTGCCAATGCACCCATATTCAGCGAATACTTGGCCATCCCAGCCATTTCCGACACGACCAAGGTACGCACACAAGCGGATCTGACTCAGGAATTCAACGCGAGCAACCCCAACGGACTGCGCGAGACTTACTGGGCAGCCACATACAAGCTCAATAAGAACCACACCGCCGCGGTCCGAGATATCTTCTTCGAGGAACTTGAATCGATCAAGGATGCCGCCGGCCTGGTGCCCGCCGCGACTCTGCAGGTCATCAGCGAAGGACAACTGGCCGGCATGACCAAGAACGGCGGAAACCCGCTGGGTCTCTCTGCCTCTGCGGGACCGTTCCTGCTGCTCAACATGAACATGATGTGGAGCAACATCGCCGACGACACGAGGATCCTGCAGTGCAACCAGCGCATCATTGACCGGACTGTGGCCTTGGCCCAGTCGATGGGGCTATATGAGGACTACATCTACATGAACTACGCCAGTCAGTTCCAGGACGTCATTGCCAGCTACGGCTCGACCAACAAGGCCAAGCTGGAGAGCATTGCCGCCAAGTACGACCCCACCGGCGTGTTCCAAACGCTCCAGCCAGGATACTTTAAGCTGAATGGACCGCCCAGCCCCAGTGGCCCGTAGAGTCGGCACTCGTGATGGGAGAGCGGAATCGTGGTTTGTAAAGCGGAACAACAGCATATCGGGAGATTTTCTGCAAGGCATTTTTACTCTTGTTTCGGGACCTTACGTATTAACAGTCATTAGATTTCATGTTCAGCGGCCGTCAATTTCTTCACATGTTGCAGCCCCTGCCACAGATTTTCGCACACTGTATTAAGGTTTTAATCAAAAGTTTCACTATGTATGATATAATATACTTTACGAGGGCAGGGGCTCATTGAATGTTGAAATTCTAATGATAATTCTACAAACAAATTTCTCGCGTTTCAAACTTGAGTCTTAACCCACGATCCATTTTCAGTGGAAACGGTCGTCGGACAGGGTTTGCGCTGTTCTTCAGAAGGGTCTCGAGGGCACTGGAATTCCCCCCTCAAACAGTTTCAGTTTCAGGGTCTCCTTGCATTCTTTCAACCCACACATCTAATGCAAAACACTAGCACTCTGGGAAGCATGAGTAATGGAGCTACATAATATAGACGAGCCGGGGATCCCATGGTGCCCATGCATCCTCCCTCGAGGTGATCCTCGCCAGCGTGAAGACCCTCGAAACCTGCTCCTTGCGCAATCCTATCAAGATCTGACACACGCTTGCATAGATAGCCGTTTTGGCTGAAAGCTTGTCAGGATAGTCGTGTGCTGACTTGCCTTGCTCCTGCGGCTGACACGTGCAGAGCTGGGCAAGACAGAGTATGCAAGGCTTTGAGGCAGACGGCAGGCTACATACAGTAGGTGTGCAGCATGTTCCCAATCGTCAAGAGGCAAGTTGGTCGATCGATGCGGGTTGGAGCCTTGGAGGCACGAGGCTGAGGCTTACCTAAAACGAGTTAGAGTCAAGCTAAACCACATCTGGAACCCTCAGCAGGCAAATGACGGCATCGTCCTCATCCTTGGCAACTTGAAGTGCACAAGACAACCTTGGAACTTGCACCATCCAACCTCTTTTCACAGAGTCCACGGCACTGGGTTTGTTTCCAGGGCTGACCCCTCCCCAAGCATCAAACCTTCCCCTCGGTGAAGCCGGCTCACTGGAATCTTTCCAGGCTGCCTACCTCAGCTGCTGTCCTCACATCACCACCAGCTCGTTGGGCCCAAGCAATTGAAAACTGAATTGGTCGGTCGGCGATCAAGCAGATGGAAAATGGCCAATCAAACCAACTCCGACAATGACGACTGCCTCAACATCTACATCTTGACATACAACTGCGCGCGAACCCTCATCAACCCGGCTACTTTTGCACCGTACCTCTTCCATGCTCTCCCGCCAAACAGTGACGCCCCAGAACTTCTCGTCCTCTGCCTGCAGGAACTCGCGCCCATCAGCTATTCGTTTCTTGGGGGGTCGTTCCTGACGCCCTATTTCAAGGCGTTCCGCGAGGCCGTCAGACTCGCCTCCAAGGACCGTGGTGGATATGTGAACGTGGTGAGCAGGAACCTGGGGATGACTGCCATCATGGTCTTCCTGAGGGATGACGTCGCCGACAATCTCACGTGGATAAGAACAGCCGGTGTGGGTGTTGGTGTTAGCGAAATGGGTAACAAAGGCGCAGTGGGCGTCCAGCTGGGATATAGAGCAACTCGAAGGCATCCACCATCAGCTGATGGCGAAGTCGGTGACGAAAGTGGAGAACTTGAGTTCACCTTTGTTTCGGCCCATCTGGCGCCCATGGAAGACGGTCTGGAGAGGCGAAACGAGGATTACCGAAATATTATGCAGAAATTAGTCTTCCGCACAGATCAGAGGCTCAAGGCTCCGTTGCCTCGGGGCGAAGAAGGGGAAGATGCGCCTCTGCTACAAGGAGAACTCGCTTCGCAAGAGCACGAGACCCTCGGCGAGGAGGAAACAGGCATGTACTCAGCGTCGTCATATCTCTTCTTCGCCGGTGATCTCAACTATCGCACATCACTGCTGCAACCGTCTCCACAGGATGTCGAGGAAAAATTCCCGCAGCCCAGTACGAACAGCAACGATCCCATGCCTTTTCGCGATTTGCTTGCTGAAGATCAACTTACTCAGCAGGTCAAGGCTGGGAAGACTCTACACGGGTTGACAGAAGCACCAATCACGTTCCCACCCACCTACAAGTACCACACTGACGGAAGCAAGGCTGTCCTCATGGTCAATGGAGAAGACCGACAACACTGGAGCTGGGCACGTCATCGCTGGCCCAGCTGGTGCGACCGAATCTTCTTCTCGAACCCCCAGGGAGGTGACGTCAAGGTTACTCCGCAGAGATACACGTCTCTGCCGCTCTTTGCAACCTCGGATCACCGCCCAGTAGCACTGGCAGCCTCCGTACCTCTGAAAGCGGTGTCGAATGCAGGGCAGGTGGAGGGTGAGAGGGGCCCGACAGCACCGTTCGGCATCGACCCGGACTGGACGAGCAAGAGGATCCAAGCACGCAGGAAGGAGTTGGCCGTGGGGATCATGGCTTATCTGGCACTGACATGGGAAGGTAACGGGTTGCTGGTTACAACGACGATTGGTGTTGTGGGTGCATGGCTGATTATCAGATCTCTGCTCATGGGTTGAATGGGTCAATGGGCGGGAAGAGGCTGCCGGATGATCAGGATGAGTCTGCAGTGCCAACATTCCATGATTCCCCGACTTTACCAAACGAGGGAATTGAAGGTGACCAAGAAGAGTATAGAGGCATCAAGGGTGGGTGTTGGCCGGCTGATTCACCAGGTGTGTGGGGAATCTGGCATTGATCCCAGAACTGAGTACCACCAGAAGGAGCAACAGCAAGGATTACGCGAGTGCTTCTCGAAGTTCGACAATGCTTCGATGGGCTTTCTAGCGTCGTGCTGGAAGCATTCTCGGTTGGGTTATTTCCCCTGCTGATCTTTTTTGCTACCTGAGCTCCCGCCCAGTGGCCGCAAGAGGAAGGCGCGGGAAATGGCCTAAATGGACTTTGACCGGTATGCTCTGGCCCCAAGCTGAAGGTCACCTACCTAGGTATCTAGGTACCTAGGTTCCAAACTGGGCGCCTTCCTGAAAGGCTCTACATCATCTCCTGGTCGAGGGCCATGGTCAGTGCATGATCCTCGACGGACTTCTGCGGAGATCACTGCCCCTGTGCTCCTACCTTGGACCGTTTGCCGAGCTGGTCAATGACAGCTAGCATAACATGCACTTCATGTTCTGAGTTCTGAGTGCTTTCTTCACGGTTCTGTGCAGAGATGCCTGCTTGGCAGCACCGTCCAGCGTATGGGCCGCGATTGTTCTGACAGTGCAGCTGACCTAACAAAGACACAGCTGAATGATCGAGGGCTGACTCCAATGGGCTCTTCTCAGCCTCTGGTTCCAACCGCAAAGCCCTTCATTGGCCTCCGGACCGCGGCGCAAAGTTTTGGTGTGGGTGGACTGGTGAAGTGGTGTGATGACTACTCTTGAAGATGGTGGTCCGGTCCGAGGATTATGCGCCCTTCACTCCTGAGGAGCAAGCAGAGAGGAAAGGATTCTAGCGGAAGCCTTTGTGCAAGGCTCAAAGCCAGCCACGCCAATCATGCCACGTACCAAGCGTTCCGCTAACCGGGAGATGAGTCTAGACCATATGCGCCAGCTTGTGGTCTAGACCTCCAAGCCATCAGCTGATTGATTCACGGGAACCGGCACCGCGTTTCAGATGCAGCGTCCGGAATTGCTTGTGTTCTAGCGGTCCAAGTACGGGGATACCAGGTTTCCCACCCCGAGAACACTCTTTGTGCTCCGGATCCAAAAACTGTTTTTTACGCCGAAGGGCAAAACTTTTTCGTGGTGTGAGGGCGATGGAGGTATGTGAAATCTCGGTCCACCGAGTGGTATGAAGCGATGGTGGGTTATGGTGACCTTGGCCCACCAAGCAGGGAACGTATTGGGTATGTTGCGGATTTGATCGCACAAAAGGATGACTGATGATAGAGACCCAGTGTGTGGACTTGGAGTACATAATGGACATGTCGGATCAGCCCGCAGGGATCCGTCGAAGGGAAGGGGAGTTTCCCTTAGGCAGAGAGTTACCCATGGGCGGGGATAGGCGCTCTGAGAGCCTGCTAGGCACCTAGGATGCCTGTGATCACTGATCATCAACTACCTATGTCTAAGAGCCTGCCTGACTAACGAGAGTCACGGACATACCTAGTAGGGAAAGCGCACTTTGCGGGCACTGACGAATACGAGGTACTAGTAGTATCCAGCTGGCAGAGAGCCTGGTTGATGCGAGAAAGGGCTAAGCGTCGTCGTAAGTGCTTGACGCCCACGGGAACACAGCGCAAGATGCAATGTAACAACAAAGACAATGCAAGGGTAACCAGTTGGCGAAACCTCGTGTCTTCCATTTTGGGGGCGACCAGAATCTACGAGGTACTGTACATTATTTCCCGGAAATCTGGCTAATTTCTTCCCTGCAGAAACGATTATTGACGTTGCTGAGGTGAATGAGGGCTGAGTGGTCCGATCAAGGAGACACAACGGAGGTAAGCAAGGAGGTGCGTAACCGGAGGACGGAGGAATCGCACGACTACTCGTTTTCTGTTCTCGGTATACGTGGGTAGCGGGAGGAGTTGCTTGCGTGTTGTGTGCGTGCGAGGACGGAGTACGGAGCAAGCGACGGAGTAAGGACTCGTCCCTGCTCCCGCTTTGTGGGTGAGCAAAGGAGGTGTTGCGAGCCCAGGGCGCAGGCACAAGGGCACACGCAAAGGCGCAGGCGCAGGCGCAGGCGCAGGCGCAGGCACAGGCACCACTGGGAATAACAATTGGGTGATGGTGACCAAACCAACAATGGAAGTCGTACGTTCTGCTCCCGTAATATTAATGTGCACCGTGCAGACTGTGCAGGGCGAGTGGGGACCTACAGTCCATAACGTGATGAGGCCGCGCTGGGCGGAAGAACAGTCAGGCGGTGCCCTTGTATGATTGAAGTTGTAGGACGAGTACCTACAAGGAGTCGGTCCCTGTGGGGTGGGGTGTGCTGTGGGTGCCTGCGAGCCTGGTGCCCTAGTGCCCTGGTGCTCTGGTGCTCTGGTGCCCTGATGCCCTGATGCCTTCCTGCTAGTAATGGATGTGTCAGGCCAGCCCACTGGGCCCGAGCTGACCCTGGCCCCTTAGACTTTGCCCGATGGTTTCGGAGGCCCAGGGCGTGACATCTTCTTGCATTGATGAGCATGCACCGAGTGGCTGATCATCGATGCGCTAAACCATAATCCAGTGTAACCACCAACACTGGGCAGGGTTTCTGAGCACTATATCACTCTCGTGCCTTCCGCCTTCGTCGAGGCCTTGATCTCCTTTTCCTCTGAACAACAAACCTCCAATTGATCGAACCAAGGGGCTCGCCTCGAAGACGACTCTTGGGTATAGACTGCGACTCAGTTGTGCTGTACAACATCAACCACCCTCAACAACTCAACACATTTGCGCGACCAACTTCCCAAAACGATCCCCGATCTGAAACGAATACAAACGTCACCACTTTATTGGCGAACTCTACACTCATCCCGCGTTCACATATCATCCACCGACAGCCTTTCAAGACCGTGAATCCTTTTGTCATCCTACACTGTCACCAAGGCATTCAACCGCCAGAAAAGAAAACACAACCGGCAAAGAAAACACACCATGTTCTCGTGCTCAAATCAACCTCGGGGATGCCGCGGGCGATGCGACACTGCTGGCGGCAAGTGCGCAGAATGCAGAGTACGTCCTGGCTGCATCACAACTTCCCCAACGCCGTTATTCTAACTCGTCTTCTCTTGCAGATGTACAACTTCCGCAGTCGACCTAGCCGGCCCTTTCGATCAGTTCTCACACAGCCGCTCAACGTCCGGTCGGGTCTGCTGACTACGTCATTTGAGGCTGATGTCACCATGCCGCGGTGCCCTGCAGATGAGGCCTCGTAAATGCCCACTTGGCACTCAGGACTTCAAATCCAATCACCACCCGCGCAAACCAATCTCACCCATTTATCCTTCGGCAATTCATGCCCTCAGGCCTGTGCCCAAGCTTGGCAACAACCCAGGCCACTGCGAAACCTCCCGCCAGGATTGGGTGTTCATGAAACCTTGATACCCTACGAGCTACGACCATTGACGACCGCCGCCTCCGATTGGGTGTTTGGCCTCTTTGTTATCCGGCCATCACCGCTTTTTACCAATTTCACACTTTCGACTTTCTTGTCTATGTTGGGTTTCAGCGTCGGCGTTTTCAGGGGGGGGCACACACTTTGACACCAGCATAATTTCAATTAGCGACTTTCCTGCATTCGGAGGCAGCAACAACGACCCTGCATTTCCATGAGCATTCTTTTTCATCAACTTTGTTTGATTGGAGCCAGACAGACCGCATTCTTGTCGGTCTGAGGCCCTCTGTGTATCAACGCTATGATCAATGACGCCAGATTTGGACACGAGTGACGACAAGCTTGCAGCTTGCAGCTGCAGGCCAAACCGATCCTTGTGACAAGTTGGGGGGCGGGGTTTGTCGATCACTTTCTCTGCGCCGGCCTGAGGCCAAAAAAGCACATTCAATGGAAAAGGGGTCGGGGAAGAAGCACACAAAAGCGAAACGGAGACCGGGCGTCTTGCGTTAAATCGGTAGTGAGCCAGCAACTGGTTTTCCTGCTCATGTACCAACATTTGCTTTGCGTCTGGATTGTCTCAACACCACGCAAGCTGCATGTACAGTTACAAGACACTTGACGAGCTATTACCTATATTATTCAGGGTCCAACTCGTCCCACACACGGAGAGTGACCTAGGTAAATCAACCAAAACAAAAAAAGTTTGAACAACTTATCTCTAGCTTTGCTCCATGTTGTGTGTCCTTGTCTTCTTTTGCACTAATTATTACACCACTTGCGCACTGCATCCGCTGATCAGTTTTTTAGCCCCTTGCCTGCACAATGCAGATGCAAATACCTCGTTCAAGCCCTGCACTGACACGACTCATTTCCTCGCGCATCCAACTACAGACTGGTCGTTGAGGCCAAGTCCTTCGCGTCACTTTCTCGACATACAGGTAGGGCAGTCAGCGAGCAAAATGCCTCATCTCTTCCCCACAAGGGTCCGCGTGCAGGAAAAGACGTTCCAGTCCGTTCCGAGGAGGTTCTTGCGCATTCATGCCACCTCTCGCATGGAAAGGGCGCCTCGGGTCATCTTCTCTCGTGTTCGCATAGAGATTGTGCTTTCTGCAGCTGATGGGCGGAATGCGGTAACCTGGGCCGAGGATACGCAGTGAGCAGAGTAGCTTGAGCATTTCTTTTTTGGCCGGCTCGCAGTAGTTCGACGACGATGCAGGAGTTCATCTCTAATTTTGGTGCCTGGTGGGTGCGTCCGTTGCCAGCAGGCACATGCGCCTTGGTGAGACAAAAGCGGGCGGTGCAGCTGGCCTGGTAGCCTGCAGCAATCGCCTGAAAACACCCCAAAGTTGCCGGCCCTCTCCGCCTTTTCCGCATTTGCCGTGTGATCGACTCCCCTCCCTGGGCAGCTCCCCTTGGTGCCCTTTGCTAAAGCTCCGGGGCTTGTGGCATGATTGGTGGCCTGTCTAAAGCCCGGTGTCTCTCCAACGATTTGGATTGCACTGACTTGTAGCTCGCTGTCCGGCGTTCAATCGTCCAGCATTGACCATCACCTCTGATTCAGATTGGTCAGGCCTAGCCTCACATCTCGTTCAATGGTCAAAGAGCCTTGCGACCTCGACCAACTGTTCGGACAATGGTCCCCTTCCCGTCAAGCCCTGAAAGTCCAGTCCGGGCCATGCATGCGCTTGGGTCTGTCGACGTGCTCGCTGCCGCCAGAGCAATCTGATGTCGCCACGATCACTATGGTGCGAGGTTCAGATTCTCCTCAGGACTTATGTCTGCACCTCGACACTTGAACGCAGTCGTCATGGTCCTCGCCTCCTTCCAATCCTCTCCTGTCGAGACTCAGTCCATTAGCTGGAGGAGGGGTTTGGACCATGGCGTGCGTCGAAGCCATGTCTTCATGTCTCGAGCACTCTGGCCACTACCAAGTCAAAGACGACCGCTCCAGTCTTGATCGTAAGAAGATTGCACAGGTAGGGGCCTTCGCGCCACTGAAATGATGGTCAAGTTGATGCTATCGACGATGTTGGACGTGGTGGCACTTTCCTCGCGATTGAGGCGTGCACTATGCAATCGCTGCTTCCTGAAGTTGGCCGGGGACTATTTCTGCACCCGGCCGTCGTCGCCGTCTCGTCCTCGCACCATATCTCCCAGCCTGCAATTTTGGATATATTCAGTATGACCGACTGCCTCTATCGCAATGGAACAGGAGGCGATGCTTTTGCTATGGTTGCTGCGAGGCACGCAATGACCTCTTCGGAAGTTGGTTCTGAAAACTATGGAGCTCTACCATCATCGTACCGCCGAGTCCGCAAGTCGAAATCCCTTGTGGCATTTCCCAACGGCAATCTTCGTCTGCGTCTCCAACGCTCCATTCCTTTCCTGCGGCGCCAGAGCACCACCACGTTCTACAAAGGTTCAGACGGTGCTTGGGAGAGACACGAAGAAGCAGTCCAGATCGCTAGGGCACAGTTCCTCGATGGCTCTGGCCAAGGAGACCTGCAGGAGACAGAACAGCACATGCCTCGGAAAGTGAAGAGGAGAACGGAGCACAAGTTCAGGAAGACTGTTCGGAACAGCGGCTGTCTCGAGGCCGAGCAGCCGGATACCGCAGCCACTAGATCGTTCTCACTCACTTTTCGCAATAGAGTGCGCAAGGTCCTTGGGAAATCCCTGGGTAAAAAGGACAGCCTGCCTCCACAACAGCTGGAGGCTCAGCGCAACCACTTCTCCGAGTTTGACAAGGAGTCTACGCTTGTCAGCGGGTTTGACGCATACCAGATTACCGACGACGGTCTCACTCCACGTCGAAATGAGTATTCCCGGCCGTTCCTCGAACATGATCCGCTCGAAGACCTCGACAAGGTGCCATATACTGTGCATTCAGCTGCAAGTCGTGAAAGCCTCCATTCCAACACACGATCCCGGGTCACCAGCTGGACCAACTCCAGCATCACCAGCTCGATTGGGTTACGGTCTGTTCCTATAGAGCGCAATCGGCTATCGATCATCAAAGAGGATGGCGGCCCGCACCAGCCATCGTCCTCTGCCGGCAAGCATATTGGCGGAGTCGAGGTTTTCCATGAGCCGTTGCAGTCAGCCACGAATAACAGCCGGGCTCTACCGGCAGTGGATAGTCAGCGAGTCTATTCAGCATTGATCAAACGAATCAACCAGGAAGAGGCTGAAGTCGAGAGGACGCGCATGGCGCTGGAAGCCATCAATCAAGGCCGCGAGGCGAACAACACAGAAGTCGCGGACGCGAAACCCACCATCAGAGCCGTTCAGAGTGATTTTTCGCTGGCCACAATGACCGGGCATAATCCGAACCCGCGGTCGAGCAGCCAGTCTGGCTCATGGCATCAATCTGCAAGTACGAAGGCGGATGAGCAACATAAGGTGAATGCTGACAAGAGATGGGAGCGGCTGGCAGAACAAGAGTCGCAGTCGACCTTTTTTCCATTCTCGAGCGAAAAGAACCCCAATGCTCCAAGTCCTTTCAAAAGGTTCCTCAACGAGAGGCGTCACCGCAGCCGCAGCAGCAGCGGTCGTGGCAACGGGGCAGATTTGGACAGCGGCAGCGTTATTGTCAATCGCCAGTCGAGCAATCCCGTGATGAACCGCCCTCAATACGGTCTGAGCAGTGCCAGCATCTATTCACGAACAACGAATGGCGGATCTAATGAGCAATACCAACAGCCATTCGAAAGCTCGGACGAGCTCCAGACAACTGGTCTGGCAGAGTCGCAAACGAACGGTATGGCAACCATTTTGGCAACATCTTTTGCTTCGACCATGAATAGCCAATGGAACCCATGGTTAGATACTGTGAAACAGCAGGAGCGCACGCCAGATAGCAGTTCAGGTTCGCATACGCGAGAAAGAACTCAGATCAACTCGGAAGAGGAAGCTAGAGATGAGGAAGAAGTTACCTCTCGGATAGTGGCAAGGTCAGCAAGCACCCGTCTTGTGCAGAGTCGAGATCCCCCGGCCAGTTTCGGCGCTGCTTCAGTGTCCGGCACTTTGAAAGAGCAAAATGCCACTACTTCCGTCGGAACTCACGCCGATCTGCTCAAAAGGGTCAGCGCCGACGCTTTGAGCAGTCTGTCCAACAAAGCCGAAGATGGAAGTAAAGGCAGCGGAAGCCTACGAAAATTGAGCCCCGCAAACATTGCAAAGCTCTTCAAAGAGAAGAGGACCCAGAGATCACTTGAACCTCAACGTGCTGGCAAGGAAAACAGTCCGCTGGCGCAACCAGATTCTCCACCCGTGAGTTCACCAGGAAGACTGCACTTGCAGTTCCGCAATGGTACCACGAACGGGCGCCTACGCAAGAGGAATAGTGAAACCGGGTTCGATGCTGGAAATATCTACTCTACCCCTCATGATTCTATCTCAACCACGCCCAGCAGATCGCATGAAAGCCCCAGCGACAATGTCAAGGCACACCTGGTCGCCCGACTCAGCCGGCCGTTTAACATGGATGTGCCCCCACACAATCGTCCGTTTGACAGTATGTATTTGGGTAAGAGAACGCCGGGTCATCCAGACACGTTTGGGAGCAACAGGCTGAGCGTGGCATCTCGGTCCAAATTCGACGGGGCGGGCCTGGACCTGCAGACTGACCTGGGAGATGGGAATGAGGGGGCAACTGCACTTCCGTCTCAATCTTACTCTGTGGGAAAGAGTGCAGCCAGAATGCTGGGCCTCCTGGGTAGCAAGAGAATGGTCAGCAACTTCCTGAGAAGCCGACGAGGGGAAAGAAGTACAAGTGCAGGTGAACATATTTTGGGCGAGGGAAGTCCAGCATTTATCTAAATTATGCGCACGGCATGTTTGGCTTCAGTCAGACCAGCATTGTTTAGAGGCTATCGGGAGCATCTTGGTCAGCACACTCGCTAGTAATCCCGGCATGAATAACATACAGCATAAGATCGGGCTTGAGAAGCTGCTGAAACTAGAAATAGGAGGGCTGAAAGAACTGGCAATATTTAACTAGAGTCGAGACTCGAGACAGCCCAAGAGTGTTCAAGGCTCAGTCAGCCATATTTGCCCTGGTATTCGCGAGCCCGCAACCATCGCTACCTGAACCTGGACCTGAAGTTGAACATTGACTATGCAGCAGCCACCACATTTATCCTGCAACGTTGCAACTACCAAATCTTGCTACGCACACTCTGGGGAACGAAGACGACAGCGACGCTGCACGTGACGTGGTGCGGAAACTCAGCCTCTCGATCTCTCCCCATGACATTCACGTCCCCCCCTTTTACCAACCAACATTTCTTCCATCGCGTTGTTTACCTTGTGGACCACAATATTTTCATGTCTCGAACCCATCATCGACACTTACTGGTGCAATGTACTTGCCCCATGAAATTTATACCGCCGTTGACCCACTTACTTGGAAACCACCAATTGCCCCCTTACCAGGTATTTAATACCCGGCGTAATTCTGTTTGGATTTGATGCTCCATTGCCATGCCATTGTCACGAGCTCCACCCGATCCAGCTCCTTAACGGCCTACCCGATCGTCCCTGGGACGTCATGAATGACCTTGCTATCGGCTTCCCCATCCCCAGGCCGAGAACGCATTCGACACGTACCGTCTTGAACCGACCCGAACAGTCCAGCAAGGAACACTCCTACTATCTCCTCTGAGTCTGCAAATTCAATGCTGCTCTCCCCAGAGCCTTGTCCCTGCCGCGCTTGTCAACTTGTGCTTTGTGTACACACCCAGCAAGAAGATGGAGCCCCATTAGTGGAGTTACGAGTACACTCTCCACCAAAACAATGCTATCCCCTTTGTACGAGACGTTTTCAACGGGGAACCGCTGCAAGTTTTGAACGGAGGCGGGTCCCATCGCAGAGAATTCTTCAAGGTGGACGCCTTTTGAGGATCACGACGACTGACAATGCTGAAAGCGTGCTCATATACAAACCTGGGTCAGGCCAGCTCCATAAAAACAACCGCCTGGCTGTATTCATTGAAGAAAAGGTGTGTGTGGGTAAAGATTCGCACTGTTCCACCTACTGAACCAGCGGGACCGGCGCTGTTGTTTTGTCAACAATGTTGTTACAGCTCTGGAGCATGTGAGGGACAGTTGTTTAAAAGGCCTTTCACATCCCGCCGTGCTCAGGTTCTTTCTTTTCTTCTCTCCAGGTAACCCCCCTACAGTGCAAGAGTACAGAAAGGCTGACCGTTTACAGATCTCACATTTCACAATGGCAAAGGAGTTCGCTTCTGAGCCATTTTCTTCTTCCGGCAGTTTCGACCTGAGGAGGTCGCTGAGGGCTTCCAGGGCTCGTCCTTGGTTGGCCAACAGCGTTCTTCGTGGACGGTCAACGGCCGCTGGTGTCAAGGGCGGTGAGGATGCCCCTTCATCGTCTGCGACCACCACTGTGACAATTGTCTCCGACCCTGCGCCAACCGTTACTGTCTCGTGTGTATCGGAGAAGCAATCGTCGGACAACACAGCCGCTGAGGCGAAGGCTGAGACTTCGGTCAACGCCGGACCCAAGGCAAAGGCCATGGGATCTCGGATCCCCGTACCGGTCACACCGGTCCTTAATGGCATGTGTTCGTCTCGACTTTGTGGATCCATCTCACTTGGCAAGGGAGGCGATTTGGGAAAGGACAAGACAGCCACGTCTCCTACCGTCACAGGGGAGGCAGCCTCGGCGTCGCGGATCCCGGTTCGCATCAAGGTGTCGCAAGTTGGGCGACGGCCTGCTCTTGGGCAGGTACGACCTAGCAAGCCACTTGTTGCTCATGCCGGGTACCCGAAGGACAAAGAGGCCGGCAACAAGAGGGGCACTGGGGGATGTGGTGGTTTCCGCCCGATTGTTCGACGACCAGAAGCGATGTCGATCCAGAGTTGCATAAACCCGGAGCCAATCAGGAGTCATCGAGGAGACCGTCAGGTCAAATCGATCCTGAAGCACCGTGTTGAGCCCTCTGAGGAGACTGAGCGGACTACCTCGACTTCTGTCGGCCATGGAGTGACATCCGCTGACCTGGATCAGAACAAGAGTGTGACATTTGCCCCGTCGCTGTTAATCACACCGGCCCGTTGTTGGCCAAAGGACATCGTCCCGGACTGGCGTTGTCTTCAGTGTGGTAGCTGTGGGCATTTGCCGTGGTGTCGCGAACTTGTGGGTGCGAAGCTAGGGCTGCAGGCTTCTGATGTCTGGCTGAAAGATCAACTGATCCGAGGTCATGACTACTTGAAGCATTCAGGGGGTTATCTCAGCAAGCACGGTTCTCATCCTCCCACTGAACCATGGAGTTTTTGAGACCTGAGTTGCCTCCAAGAGTGTTATGAACCTTTTTCCACGTGGGCGTCTTACTGGCTTGGGAATCTCAGATTCCATTTACACGTCGTTCATTTCACACCCGCTTCAGGCAGTTGTCCGGCTAGCTCTGTGGGCTCTGAGGGATTTTTATGCAATGGCTGCAGACAGTTTTGAGGCTTTCGGTGGGGCGGTCACTGATTGAAGATGCTGTCTGTTCGGTCGTGGAGGTTTCCCAGGACGCTGGAGGCTTCTCACCTTTGGTTGCTTGGTGTTTGGTGTGGACTTGTTGAAGAATGCGCAGAAGCAGGTATGTGACTACCCCATTGGCAACCGAGCACAGTTGTATTTCTCACAGTCAATTGCCCCCTGTTTTTTAAAAAATCAAAAAATCGGTGATTGGGGACGCTCATGAACCACCAAAAAAACTTGAAAATCAGAAAATCATACTCAAATTAGATAGTTGCTTGGTTAGGTTTCCCCCTTTTGCTTTGTCACACACTACACTGTGCTCAGTTTGATGGTTGCTGAATGAGGTATTGACCGTCACTTGGAGGATTACATCAAAAAGAGAGTCACATATGGCCATTCAACTACAGGGTTCAGATAGAGCACTCTGTGCTGAAATAGGATTCTGAATACCTCGGATGGTTCTTGGTGATACAGTGCAATCTTTTGCACGCTGGCACGCTGGCACACTGCTCAGATGATCTCTTTCCATATCATCCTGAGTAAAGCTTTTCATACACAGATCGAATTCATCACAAGACGGCCACTGTTGGGGTTTGAGGAGTTCAGATCGGACTTCTTTCGAGAAGCAGAATGGGGTTCTGAAATTGAGGCGTCCTCGGAAGAACCTGGCCTATTGTCTTTGTGATACAAATCTTTGTACCTTTTGCTCTGCGTTGGAACGGGCACATTGTCGTTGGTGAAGAGTGTGGAGGATAGGCATCGTCCTCCGTGACTCACCACTGCCACGCTATACGTCTGGCGTGTGTGTTTGTGCTTCGATATGGAGGCTGGGTGTGTTGGTGAACTGAGACCTGTCAGAATCCCCAGCTTGGCTCTGGAGAGGCCAGATTTGAGCTGCTGCTTTGTGATTGAAGAGATGGCAGGAGATTGAAGCTTGTGAATGCGACGGTGATGGTGGGACTTCGAAGGGCCTGTGGAACTGGTGTGCGCGGTGCAGCTGGGAAGAGCCATGAGATGGAGGCGGCAGAAAGAAAGAGGGAGGGAGAGAGCATCGATGCCAGTCACACCAACACCAAAACCAAATGACACAACTCCACACGCACCAAGGGAAAAGGAAGGTGATTCAGTCCTGGTTGAGGGGATGCAGACACGAAAATACCAGCGATGGCGATACCGACACCGACACCAGCGGCCAGCGCCCAACGACAGGAAGTCAGATGTCGTTCAATCCATCCAGATAGCCCGAACGGAACCCAGAACCAATCCTGCAGCGCGTATGACAAGACGGGGAAGGGAAAAAGAAAAAGGCAAGGCACAGCACAGCACAGCACGGCAAGGCTACCACCAGTCACCAGTCACCAGTCAATGACCAACCAACCCCGGCAGATCAGAACTCCTCACACGCCCAGGGCCACCTCAGCGATGTCGACGCGGACTCTCCATTACCTACTTTCTCACTCCGATCAAAACCGATGGCCAGCACAAGCGGAAGGGCGGGGTTTGAAGTCGACTTGTTTAGGTACGAGAGGGAAGGACTTTCGCTTATCAGAATCGGACGGTGACGGTAACGGCGACGGCGACAGAATCGAAAGCGACGAGAGAGAGAGAGAGAGAGAGACACACACACGCACACACAACATCAGATGAATCGACGATCTACATCTCGAAACCGCAAGACGGGGAAAAAGGAGTTGGACAGGGGAATGATAGATAGATAGATAGATGGACAGATAAGTAAGAAGGGACGAAACATTCGGAATCTCTCTCTCATGCGTCTCTCTCACTCTGCGTGTGTATGTGTCTCTGCATACAGGGAATCCACGACCACCTCCTCGAGACCGAATCAAACCCCTGGTCCAGCTAGCTATATTTCGCGCCCTATTCCTGGCCTGTTTCCGAAAGGGGCTTTCTTTGTTACCTTTTTCTGCCCCCCCCCTTTTTTCCTTTCCCTGCGGTTGTTACTTTCCCTTCCCTTCCCTCCAGACCAGAGTTACTTTGTGTATGCTATTTCAAAAAACACAGATAGCTCGATCGAGCTCGCGAAAGGGAGTTTGGTGTTGGTAAGGATGAAGTGGGGGAATAAAAGAGGACCGCATACGAGACTTAATACAACCGATGAAGGCATGTCTCGTCAACCCCCATTGCGCCGGGACGGATGCGAACCCCCGCGTCCTCAGTGTTGACCATGTGCCATTTCACCCTCTAACATATCCGCATAAATCTCCAACGCACTGCCGATCATATCCACAATCGCCCAGCTCGTATTCCCCTTGAACGTCTTACTCCATACCCTTACCACCGCCACACTCAATTGCCGCATCTTCTGGGTGTCATCCAACAACTCCCTCGACTCATTCAGGACGGTGTGGTCGTTCGCATCTCCGTTGAGAGGCACTGTCATTTCCGTCTCATCAAGGAGAGACCGCACCCAAAGAAGTAGTTTTCTTTCGTGCTCTGTGACGGGGGCGCCGCCGGAGCTCTTCAGGTTGGACAGAACATACAGCCATTTGCTCAGGAGAAAGGCGCATTCCAGACTACACAACGAATGTTGAATTGACCAGAAGAAGGTCTGTGTGCGTGCAACAAAGTCTATCCCCAGTCGGACAGGGATGGAAAGTGCATGAGCAGAGTGTAGGAGGGCGGGCGTCAAGCGAGGGTCGCGGCGGATGTCTGGCGTGTTGAGCAGAGCTGTGGCAATCTGTGTGGCATCGCGAGTCTCGAGGTGGCGGAGTGGGCCCATGTCGACATGTAGACGAATGTACGCAAGACCCAAGAGCGCGGTCGAGGTGAATGCAACTGGTCCGTTAGGATTCTGAGGATCTAGACTGGACTCAGGCGCGCGTTTCCAACCTGCTTTCCAGGACGAGAGGCCCATATCGAGGACGCTAATGTCTTCCACGCGCAGACTAGATCCTGCTACGCCGGGCCAAGCCAGCGAGAGTTGCCGTGCAAAGAAAATCTGCTGAATGAGTGCGTGAACAAGGATGTAGTTGCCAAGTGGGGAGATAGGAGTAGCAGTGGCTTGATTCTGTTTGGTGAACAATCGAGAGAACGCCGTCTGGAAGGGCATCTGCGGTGCTGCATTGACTTGTCGCAGTTTCTTCCACTGTTCGGCGCTGGTGGCTTTCCACTCGTTGGCAGGGTCGGGTAAGTTGAGCTTGATCTCAGAGTTGAGGATGAGCGGAGGGACATTCCACGTGATTGAATGTAGATTGAAGAAGCAATAGACGATCAGCTTGGTCCTCTTTTCGCCCTCGATCTTAATCCAGTCCTCCCAAGTCAGCTCCTCCGGTGACTGCATGATTTCTGGACTTGTAAGGCCAGCCTCTCGCACAAGCCGTGCTAGAATGCTTTGGAATGCCAGAGCCTCACGCAGCAGCTCGGTGTGCCTCTCCCACGTAGCAAAGGCCGTGAGCAGCAGGAGCGCTTGTATTGAATCCATCTGCTCTTTGCTATCGGCAGGAGCTGCCTCTTCGGGAGAGATTTGGAACGGACTGCTAGAATGGCTTTGGTTTGTGAATCCTCCTCCGGGCGACTGAGCAATTGACCCGGTTCGAGGTCTGTTCCACAGGTGGGTCGTCGAGGACTCATCGCGGCGCCGTATCTGTTCCAACACAACGGCTTTTGCGGCATAGAATAGTTCTATGCCTCGGCTATTCTCAAATCGATACTGCGCTCCCACTGCGGCCAGCGCCAGTACGAGCTCAGGAGCACTCCCTGCGACTTGTAGAGTTGGCACATGAATGAAGGGGAGGTGCTCGTGGAAGCCATTGACATAACCCGCCAGATATCTCGATAGTGAATGCCTCGATGGAGGGATAAAACCTTTGGGCATGACATTGTCGAATGCGGCAAGTTTGGAGGCAAAGATGGATCGATCTGAATCTGAGACGTCCCAGGTTGTCCTGACCACTTTGGCCTCGGCTTCTTCGACCGTACTTCGTGGAGGGTCTGGCCGAGTGAAGTCAGAATCTCTAGATTCTGGTTGAAGGGACGGCAGTCTTGATCCAAATCGCGAAAATGTACTTGTTTCATCTTGAGGAATTCCAAGTTTGCTATCGGTGGGATGCTCACCGTTCAATTGAGGCCTTGATATATTCAAGTGATCCCCTCTCAACTCGGCAGGTGAGTTGTAATTATCAACCTGATCATGGCCAAACATATTCGCGTACCATTCAGACGAAAGGCCGACACTATCCAGGAAGACGGTGAAGTCCTGCATTGGATCGCCGAGGTCGGGAGGTTCGAACATCGGAGTCGAGTGCCCATATCCTTCGGTCAGCATTCTAGGCTGGTACTGTCCTTCTGTGACTGCCGGCATTATCTGTTGCAAGGGCTCATTGAGCTGTTCTTGCGTGACTTGCGGCAGGCCGGACATGTAGTGATCCTGACCACTAGACGCGACATGGCTGGCGGCGTGAGAGAGCAGGTTCAAGTCGTACCCCCAGGACGGATCGAGCGATGGCGCGTTGATGACCGAAGACTGGTGTGCAGACATTCCATCCACCGAGCTGATGCCATTGGCAGGTTGCATGAGCTGCGGATCCAGCATGTCCATCATCCCTCTCCCTTCGTGCGCAGCCTGAGGTGACAGCAGGGTATGATTCTGCTGTGGCGCCATGTCCATTGGGTCGGAATGATTCGAAGCTCCATGGTGTGTGTGCGCCCGGGCCGCGGCCTCCTTTGCCGCGTTGGCATTTTGAATATGGTGTTTGTGCGACTTCCGTGTGGTATGCTGCTCTTCCTCGCCTGGGTGGACGAGTCTCTCGTGACGCACCAGCAGGTCACTGCGCGCAAAGGTCTTGGAGCAAATCTCGCAGACGAAGGGTTTCTCTTTGGTATGGGTGCGAATGTGCCGTTGAAGGTGTTCCTGGTTGCGGCAAAGTTTCTCATCAGTCGTCTGCGGTCCGATGGGCGATTCTCTCTCAATGCGAGCTAGAGGTGGCAGATTGGGGATGACTTACTAGACGAGCAAAGAGTCGCTGGCAGTGCGGGCACGGCAGCGTCTTGGTCTTGTTGCCCGATTGCTTTCTTTTGACTCTGCCACCGCCGCCAGTTGACTGTGTTGTGTCCATAGCTTCTTGAAGGCCTCGTCTCTTTCTGGCTCTGATGCTAGGTGTGGAGATGGAGCCCCTCATGGAGAGAGAGGGGAAGATGAAGTCGGCCGGGAGACGACTTTGGTGGAAAGCGGAGAAGCGACTCGAGCTGCCAGCCACCGTGGGAAGAAGTTCGACCGCAAATACCGGAGATGGCACAACCGCGACTGTCCAGAAGAAGTTTAGCTTGGACGGAAAAACTCCATTATCCGAAGAATGTCTTGGCTTTTCTCGGCTATTCTCCGTGCTTTACCGACCAAACTCGGTACCGCGGTAAAATACTACCGAGTACACACTCTTTTAGCCTTCCGCATACCTGGGTATCTGCTTGTGAAGCCTCGTGGTCTATCAAATTGATCTCTATTCTAATATACTCAGATCTTGCCACGAAAATTACAGGTCTCTCACTTCTATCCACAAACTATGATTAGAGGTGTAGAGCGGATGTATGGGAAGAGAATCTGAGACGGAAGATGAAGATGAAGCATGAAGTCATCTCCAGAGCCGCGAAAGGGCCGGCCTGAGAGAGGGCAACATGGATCGTTGAACAAATTCAACAAGTCAAATTAGAACAAGTCGATTCCCTACCTCTTGAATAGTCGTACCTAGATCGATATCTCGGAAGAAAAGGCGTGAATTTTGTACAACAAACTCGAACCAGGTCGACCTTGATGTGCAGGGAATCATGCACCGCTAACTGTACAAACATGAGTCTCGACCGTTAATACTAGATTGAGATTGGCCATTCCGGGCAGGGACCATAAGGTTGCGGTGCAAAGCTCGAAACACGTTGCCTGGGTCGAATCACTTCTTCTCCTTTGGTGCAAGCATGAGCTCGGGTCGGACGTATTTGTCGAAGTCTTCCTCGGAAAGAGCCTTCAATTCCATCGCTGACTGTTTCAGAGTCAAGCCCTTCTTGTGCGCATTCTTCGCAACCTTGGAAGCCATGTCATAACCAATGACCGGGTTGAGGCAGGTGACGAGCATGAGACTGAGCAGAAGTAAGTAAGTGGACACTTGGGACTCTTGTGGAGCAACCATAAGACGTACCTTTCGTGGAGAAGAGTGGCAATTCTCTTTTCGTCCGCCTTCAGACCATCGACCAGATGCTCGACAAATCCATTCATTGCGTCTGACAAAATCCTGCTGCTGTGAAGAAGATTTCGGATCAACAGGGGTTTGAAGACATTCAGCTCGAATTGACCATTCATGCCGCCAATTGTTGCAGCAGTATGATTTCCCATGACCTGAGCAGCAACCATAGTCATAGCCTCGCACTGAGTGGGATTGACCTTCCCGGGCATAATACTGCTGCCAGGTTCGTTTTCTGGAAGCACCAACTCTCCTAGACCACAACGAGGTCCCGAGCCAAGGTATCTAATATCCTGCGCGATCTTGAAGAGACTGCAAGCAAGGGTGTTCAATGTTCCCGAAGCTTCAACGATACTGTCGTGGGCAGCCAAGACCTCGAATTTATTGGGAGCAGTCACAAACTCTGTGCCGGTCATCTTGGTAACCTCTTCAGCAATCCCCTCCGCGAAACCTTTGAACGTGTTGAGACCAGTGCCAACAGCGGTACCGCCCTGGGCCAACTGTCGTAGATGAGGGAGACATGCTTGGATCCTCTCAAGGTTCCGATCGAGCTGAGCCACGTATCCGCTGAACTCTTGGCCAAGTGTCAAGGGTGTAGCGTCTTGCAAATGTGTCCTGCCAATCTTGATGATTTTGTCGAATGCTTCCACCTTCTTCTGGAGAGCCTCCCTCAGGTTGTTGAGAGCGGGGATGAGTCTCTGTTCAAAGTCGAGAACAGCGGCAATGTGCATAACCGTGGGGAAGGAGTCGTTGGAGCTAGCAGACATATTGACGTGATCGTTGGGATGAACGGGCTTCTTGCTGCCCATTTGTCCTCCCAGAATCTCGATTGCGCGGTTTGAGATGACCTCATTTGCGTTCATGTTGGACTGCGTGCCAGAACCTGTTTGCCAGACGACGAGCGGGAAGTGGTCGATCAGCTTCAAGGAAGCGACCTCGGCGGCAGCTTGCTGAATTGCCTCTCCAACCTTGGGATCTGTCTCTAGGTCAACGGTGCGCTTTGCGAGGGGCTTGTCGGGAGTGTATACCAAGGCCATATTTCATGTTCACCGTCGCAGCAGCCCCTTTCAGGATACCAAAAGCTCGCACAACACCTTCCGGCATTCGATCTTGAGGCTGGTTGATCTTGAAATTGCCCAGAGATCTTTGCGTCTGAGCACCCCAGTACTTGTCTGAGGGGACCTCGATGGGTCCGAAGGCATCCGTTTCGGTTCTCGTAGATGCGGACATTCTTGCTGTGCTGCTGAAAGCTCGGTAACAGTCTGAGGAAGCTCGAGGGGATATGGGAGTTGGCCTTCGTGAAGTCTGAGAGAGGGAGGAAGAGAAGTTTCGTTGGGACGCAGCTTTCAAGCAACTACTCCGCACAGCAACACAGGGAAAGAGCTTGGTTCCTGATGCTGAGGGTTTCGCAGCAATAGCAACCCGCCCCAGCATTATGTCGTGTGTAACAACGAGACAGTTGAAGAGAGGATGGTCAGTCCAATTGGATCAGAGGCAATATCCGGTCTGTGATCTATTATATAGGTAGAAAAATCGACCGCAATCACAGCGTCCGTTCGACCTCACGGAAGCAATGGTTCTGAGCACTGCGGAAGCAATTGGATGGGAAATCGTCGGCGAGGCGATCATTGGCGGGCGTCGACCCTTTTCGGCGGAAGAGTTTCCAAAGCAGAGCATCGGGAAATCTCGCCATCGAGCAGCGGAAAGGAATTTCGATGCCCTAATATTCCCGATCAATTGCGCTCAATAGATGACGGTCGAGAATTATTTGTTGACCTTGGGCTGTTTCAACTGCGAATGATTGTAATTACTATTTAGTCTCACCGCTGTCTATGCAATTCATCCTCACTCAAGCAGACGCCCTGTTGCGCAGCCGCTCGCAGTAAGACCGGGTATCTCTATTGAAATTCAAAAATAAAACAAAATGCCCCAAGGTTTGCTAAAGCCTCTCCGACACTCAAGCAGTGCCTTCGACTGTCTTAAGAGCATTGCCAATCATGAAATCCTTGGATTTGGCCATCTTAACCAGGAAGCTGGGGAGCTTGAAGCCGAAGACAACACCAACGCCTCCTTGAGACCCAATAGGAACGAATTGCATGTCGCTAGTAATCTTCTTGTAGATTTTGTTGGTGCGAGGGCCACCTTTTCAAGACTCGTCAGCAGAAGTAGGCATGAGGGGAAAAGAGCAAGGACAACTCACCTTTGCCTTGAAGATCCAACTTGATGCTTTCCAACACGGCTGGTGTTGCGAACTTGACATCGAGGATGGTGCCATCTGAGTAGCTAGCGACGGTTCCAATGCAGTAAACGCCTGTGACACCGGAAACATCCAGACGGAGAGTATGGGGATCCGTCTTAACCCTTTGCGCGTCGTCCAACCACTCTTGAGGGACGAATTTGCTGTTTGGCTTGTCACCAGTAGCCTCGATGTAGACATCAACAGTCATGGTTTCTCCGTTGCTCAGCTTCAACACCTCCTTTGCCCCTTGTGTGGTGTGCTCAACAACTCGGACACTGTTGTTGACGACCTTGACTCCCATCTTCTCAAGCCGAGACTGGGCATCTTGGCCCATCTTCTTGTTGGAGAGTCGGGAAAGCAGCGAAGCACTTCCAGACAACAGTGTGATTTCCTTCTTCCCGCCGTACACTTCTCCAAGCTCGCCTGCGGTCTCTACACCCGCAGCGCCTCCGCCAGCAACCAGGATGGATTGTGCATTGGGGAGCTTCTTGTGGATTTCGGTGATGGCGGCCTTCAGAGGCTCAGTGCCGTCTGAGACGGACCATAGGTTGCTTGCAAAGGTGGTACCGGAAGCAATGACGAGGGAATCATAGTGAACGGCGTCCGAGGTACTGGTGTGGACAGTTCGGCTCGAAGGGTCAATCGAGGTGGCATAAGCTTTGATGAACTCGTACTGCTCCTTCGGGTAGGCCTTGAAGCCGGGTGCAATGGGGATCAGGGCCTTCTCAAGGGGCAGGGACTTTGGGTTTCCAATGACTCGAGGGGCACCAATTTTCCAGTAGAACTCGTCGTTAGGGGCGATCTGAACGACCTTGTAGGCGGTTTTGCCTCCATTGGACAGTTGGGGGAGGACAGTCTTCAGCAAACCATGGGCAACGCTGAGCCCAGCGAAGGACGCGCCGATAATGACGATGGTGTGAGTGGACATGGTGCCGGTCGAGGATTGTGGACGGAGTCGAGAGAGGTCGATAAAGTGAGGTGGTGCGTGACGGTGAGGACAGGCTGGAGGGTGAGGATGGTTGATAAATATAAAAAGTTAGTCGCCCCCCGGAGAAGCGCAGTCGGACTTTGTCTGAGATGGTGGTGGAGTCAGGGGTTTGTTGAAGGCTGAATGGTGCAACTGGGCCCCGGGCTGAGTGCGTGGTGAGATGTAAGACAATACTAGGTAGTTGCCGGAGAGGACAGTTGGTTCATGTATATGTAGTTGAGCCCCGGCACGCTGGCAGCCTGCTCATGCATCGGCCAGCCTCTACCAGGTCGACATCCGGCGGCTTTCCTTGCCATCTGGATTACAAAATGGCAGGGTCTTGCTTTACCAATTCTGCAATTTGACCATTGGCTTTATCACCCACACCAAACATTCCACGCGTGGCTTGAGAGACGCGATCCTAAGGGCCGGGCGTCTGATTGGCCCACTAGCTCACGGGATTCCGTCCCCATCACGGCAAAGGCTCGTGCGAACTTTGAAGCACGTGAAATTGTCTCTCGGTCGAGTGCCACGGTGAATCGGTGGTGATTCTGTGAAGCGCTTAGTGCCTCCTAGTACAGACGGGATATCATCCACCTGCAGGTTACAATCTATTCCGGACAACTTCAAGGCTCTCGGTCGAGAGAAAATCTCCTGGTCCACCGAACGGGGCTCACGGGGCGCCACAAATCGCAAGCTTTGTCGTGCGAGAGAATAATAGGCTCGTTTACAGTTCAACTACGAGGTCTCCCTAGTCCTGTATGGCAGCCTACTACCCATAGAGTCTCCTAGAACTGCCGAAGTTCGCGATAAACCAGAACCACCAACTGGGGTGCTATATTGATAGAGCAAGGTCCCCTACCAATCAATCAACAGTGACACCTATTGTTCCAGAGCATTGACAAGCACATCATTAGATTACCACCACCAGATAAGGGTATTATCCCGTACTAACAGTATGCTTATAATCTTATAGGTAAAGAGAGTCCTACAAACACGAATACAGTAAGCTCGAAATTGAAGCGGTCGACAATAAAAAGGAAACTCTGTTGACTCTCCTCGAAACAAGTGGTGCTCCACTTTAAAAATACACACATAATTCACTTTGGGTATCAATCGCACATCATCAGGCTGCTGCCTCCTGCCTCCTCCTCCTCCTCCATATGCCTCTTCATTATCGTCCTTCCAGATATCATCTGGCCAAACATGGTTGACAGTCCTGTGTTTCCTTCATTATTCATGGGTGTGGGATCCAGCCAATGCTCCGGCGCAAGGAGCCAATTCTGTCCTTCTTGGCGACAGCTTCGGCAGCATTCTCGGCCTCGACGCTTTCTCTTGGCTGTTCAACGGGAGCGGGGGTGGTGGACGTGCCCTCGGTCTCAGGAGTGGTGGTAGCAGCAGCAGCCTCGACTTCAGGAGCAGCAACGGAGTTCTTCCTGGACTCGAGTCCTTCGGTGACAACGCTGTGGCGTCTGGTGGACTTGCTCTCCCGACGTCCATCACGAGTAAAGTGCTTGCGATAAAATTCCGAATGCTTGATGAGCCAGGGCTCAAGCCAGGACTCGGCGGCGTAAGGGCGATTGCCAGTGCCGGCGGGCTGGTCCATAAGCACTTGTCCGTTGAATCCTTCGGCCATTATGACTATTTGAGCTTTTGCTTTGTTGGTTCCTAAAAGGTTTGGGTGATATAGAGTTGGAGAATAGAAGGCGGACTTGGATTGGTTGGACCGCTTCTTATATGGACACTTTTGAGGATCGACTGGACCGTTCTGCCTTGAAATGTAGATGTGAAGATGGAATGCTGGAATATCAGGACTCTCAAGGCGAACAGCGCCCCTCTACTTATGCACTCATGCTGACGCCCATCGAACACGAACTCACATACCAGAAACCTCGCAATGACGTCTTATTCCTTTGATGCATAGTCAAATGGCTCACTTACTTCAGCCGCGGAGGATTATGTTGCCGTCGACACCGTAGACCCAGAGTCCGGGGAAGCGTCAGCATCCGAGGGGATGGACCAGTCGGGTTGCCGCGAAGATGGATGTATGAGGCTGAACCGCAAGGCTGCGGCCGTAGAGTTCGCCCAGTTGGCCATCTCATCGCGTGGTAGGTGGGTTTGGTGCTGGGGCCCTAAGCGCAGCGGAAGTGGTCGGAAGGGTAAACGCTGCTTTGGGTACGAGCTTATGCGATACGGTGCGACGCAACACAACACAACACGATGGAGAGCAGAGCGCTAAATCCCGCAGCCCCTCTGTTGCCCAAGACTCCTTCTCTGTTTGTGCCTATCACTCACTGCTATTGTAGACTGCCTGCTCTTGATTGTGGTCGTTTTCAGGAGGTTCGCGAAGGTCAACTCGAGGGCTAACACAATGGCCCTGACGCAGACACTGAGCTTCGACACGAGATGGTGCGTGGGCGGTTGCTGTCGTCAGCAAGTCTGGCGTAATCCATGGGCTGGAGAAGATGAGTAGTAGGCAGCGACATAAAAAGTCGCGCATTGTCAGGCATCCCTGGATTGACTCATTGCTGCCGTTTGGGATAGATACCTAGGCACTCTACCTGGTAGGTAGTCCAATAATGGGCCGAAGCTCGAGTCTGAATGCCAGTCGAGCACAAAAATATTAATGCCGCTCTGACGTCACTCCGTGTCGCCAGCCCTATCCCACGCTTAACCTATTTAGGAGTTGCACAACTTTTTTTCACGCGCCCGAGACTTAATGTCGAGTCTTCATACATGTTCCCCCATCGCTATCACGCCTTCTGCGGTCCTTTATTGACTTATCGTTTGCCGCGGCGAACCTCTGCTAGGTGTCCCTTCTGCCTGATTCTCTGCAGATGTCGGACAATGGCGCCGTTCTCAAGGGAGATGAGCCCCTCCTCAGGACGACTGGTCTCGTGCTAGTTATGAATACGCCAAAGGGTAGGTCTCAATAAAAAGTCAATTCCGTTGCTTGATCCCTCGTGTAAGTCGATCACGAGTTTCCTTCCCCGTGTCGACCTCCGCATCCCGCTTTTTCATCCAAGCCAGGGGCTCCTGTGGACAACACGAACAGCCCGCCTAAACTGCCCCAGAAAGCCACCCTGAGTTGACCCTAACATATCTGCTTCTTGACATTCCTAGGTCGAGGCGTCTTCGCGACTCAGGATATCCCACGCGGGGCCGTGGTGGAGGTCAGCCCAGTACTGATATTCACCGGGGATGAGGTTGAGAAACATACTCAACATACATGCCTTCAGCACTACACCTAGTAAGCCTTGACCCTTCGACCTTGCAAGTCTAAGTTTGTCGACAATACAGCGACGTCTCATCCCTCTGCTCATGTGCTGCTGTACGGTATACTTATTGTTCTTACCCTGTTGCAGTTACTGGCCGTCTGAATCGGGCCGTACCATGACCCAAGCTCTTGCGCTCGGACTCGGGTCCATGTTCAACCACTCCACGCGGGATCAAAACGTGGGCTGGAAGCGCAATACCGAGACCGAAGTCATTGTCTACACTGCACTACGCGATATCAAGGCCGGTGAGGAATTGTGTATCTCCTACGGTAGCGTGCGGCTCTGGTTCGAAGATGTCGACACCAACGCCAGGGGAGAAGAAATCGGAGCTGACGAGAACGATACTGGAGGAGAAACCTTGGCAGAGTTGGAGTTGAGCGGGTTAGGGAAGATGGATCTCTAGGCGCTGAGCCCGTCATTATTAAAGAGGGGGCCGTCATCATCAAGGAGGAGCCCATCACTATCAAAGAGGAGGCCGTTATCATCAAAGGAAACACCGTCAACATTGAAGATGAGGCCGTTATTGAGAAGGCAGGGCACGAACGTACCGAGGGTTGATGTACGTTGTGACATTGACACAGGCCCAGGTGATGAGCACAATGAGACCCAAGACATCGAAGGCTCGGTACATCATCTTGAAGGCTTGTCCAGAGTTGTTTGAGGTGATGGAAGGAAATGAGAAGAGCCAGCTGGGGGGAAGCCATTATGAATCATCGACCGTGATTCAGGAAGATGCGGTGCTGAATGTGCATCTCGGAAGCGGCGGCGTCGACAAAGAAGCTCTGGTGTTGGAGCGAAGGTACAGGGGGAAGGAGGAAGGGTTAGTGAGGAGGCCGTCCTCATCAGAGAGAAGGCCTGTCCGAGCTACCTGGAAACGCCGCCGGAGGTGGTATACCACAACGACAATGAAAAGGGGCAATCCTGTTAACGCCGCAGGAAGATTCCGCCCAGTCCCACCATCTCGAGGAGGCCCCGTCCTACCAACAGATCGACAGGCGCCAACCCCCGAACGAATCTCGAAGAGCGGCTTTTGCAGAACCTCATGAGCGACACATGTCCGCCCAGCTCAATCCCACGCAATCGATATAGAAAGACGCAGGCTACAACCACATGGTATGATGCTTGGCTTTCCGCCCGTCGCAAGATCCCTTGGGGTTCCTATTGCGGGGACGTCAGCCTGATTCAGATCTGACGAGATGGATTCCCTTAACGTTATGTGATTTCTCCGGCGGCCGAACATTCCCTCCGCGTGGCCCGCTTGATGACATGTTCACCGTTCAATCTGTTTCGGCAATTCATGTCACCTTGCGCAGGGCCTGGCCAGGAAACGGCGCATGGCCAGAACTGTCTCGGGAAGTCGGGCGATGTGTATGACTCCTCAGATACCCTCGGAAGACGGGGTGGCCGGGTCTACCAAGCACAACAAGCACCACAGCCAGCACAGCTGCAACAGACCACTATCTCCAGTCGAAGACATCCCAAAACAGGACGATTCTTCCTCGGCAATGCCTGGTTAGGGGCCCGGGCGGGACGCGACGCGGGTATCTAACAATCTTTCATCCATGAGCGTATTCGGCACCGGCCTTCAATTGACAATCCCATGATTACTTAACAAACCCACCTCCTGCCTGGCAGCTTCGTCTATCAGCTCTTGCACTTGCACAGTGCCGTCACCATGCAATTTTTATACCATTTGACCCTTTTCTTTGTCTTTCACACAAATCGTCCATCTTCGGGCTCTTTTTCTTCCTACTCTGCAAATAGCCCACTATTTCCGTTCCCCTCCTTTTGCCGCGGTCTGCCTCACATCTCTTGCTCTTCGAACACTGGCTCTCCTATCCTGGCGCTCTAACCCCTTTGATACTGTGACGGGAGAACATCTAACCCAGCTCGAGACGAACGAGTCAGCGCCGAGAGAGAGACAACCAAATGGTCCCATCTTCTCCTCTGGCACAAACCCATCCAACAGACCCCCAATCCGAATGAATGCAATCAAGTGAAGGAACCTATGGTCCTAGCAACTGAAGCATAGCCAGGACCGTTCTGAAAACACCGGGGATAGCTGTTCGACGCCTAGGTACTGTGAGAAGCAACTCGACTTCGGCACCGCTCCCAAGCTTGGTTGATTTACTTTGTTGCACGCTCTGCCGGCGACAGAGTTCCAAATCGATAAGCATACCAGGATGGCAAAAGCCCAATACAGAGAAAGAGAGACATGGATCAGACACGCGCCCTTGGACTTATGTATAGCCAACCACGGAACAACGAAATCCATCCATCTTGCGCCTCAGGTCAACACACGAATGCCGATACGACCACTCTCTCCCAACCCAGCCCGATGCCCTCGGCACGAGGACATGTATGTTTTTCAACACTGGTCCATTGGGTGAACTGGAGTCCGTGCCAATCAGGACGCATGCCTCGGGCCTCGCTCCCAAACCCGTACCAGCCCTATCCTTGGTGATGCCTTGCATTGTCCTACCCACATTTCCCTTCCCCCCTCCCAGTTCCTGAGGATCCCTAGGTAGGTAGGTAGATAGGTAGGCAGGGTAACCATCCGACCTTCAACACGGTGTTTACATCCCCCCCCTTGGGGATACGAGGTCCCCCGCTCAACAGGTCCATCACATCTGTGTTTTTTTTTTTCCAGAACCAGAAACCCGAGGGAAAATGGCCCTTGGCAAAACCGCGGACTCGGCTGGAGTGCAAGCCAGTCAACTCGCTAAGAAACCCAAAAACAAAAATTGCGGGGAATCCTGGAGAAAATACCTACCTAGGGAGACCAAAACGGCGGCGGAATGAATAATACGAGGGCGCTACGAAAGCCCAGCTCAGCTATTCGAACCTTACAAACACCTTCCCTAGGTTCCTAGCTCTTCTTAAACCACGGGTTGGGGAATCTTCAATCTATGGAGCCAAGATCGCGTCTTGGGGGGAAGGGGGGAAAGAAAGACGCGGAGCGGTCTAGAAGGTTGGGTCTCGTCTTTTTTTTTGGCCCGTCACTTAAATCTTCTTGCCCTGCCGCTCCTCCCTCTCTCTTCCTTTCCAAGTCTTTTTTTCTTGACGCTTTCTAAGAACTTGCAGTTTCATGAAAAGGCTCGAGAGAAAAAAAAGCAGAATGATAGCTTGACGATGGGTCGATAACTCTTATATTCATGCCAGACTATGTATCTGAGCACTGACAGATTGGACCTTCGAAGGACACGACGGCCGGCTATCTATACCGAGTACTCCCCAATCAGAGTTGGAAGTGGGTGGCGCCGCTCCCCGACGGTTTTCACATCCTCCAAAGACCCATTGCTGCAAGCTGGTTCGCCCGACAGCAGATGGCCCTGGTGCCTGGCGACGTTTTTCCTTCATCGACTGACAAGGCATATCGACAAGGCATGTTGCAACTCAATGCATGACCACAGCAACGTGGTCGTCCATGTACTTGTCAATGTTGCCCAAAAACACACTGGCCAAAATCGCAATCGAGCCAAATGCAATACTCGTCAAATACACGTACTTGTACGACTCGGCATAGGCGACTTGGCCAGCCAGCACCACCATTTCGTAGGCGGTCTCGTTACCGGCGATTCCGGGAATGGTCTTGAGCAGAGGCAGAAGACTGGCTGCGGTATACTCGATGGCGGCGGTGATATATGTGACGTTGGTGATGCCAAGCTCAAGCTCCATGGTGCCACCGATATACTTTGTGGCGTTGGGAACGAACTTGTTGAGGAAGACGTTGTAGTAGACGGTGTAGCCGACACAGCCGCCAATCACACGGATTGAAAGGGTGAGAGCGGAAACTGTGGCGATGATGTCGTCCGGGCAGATGATGGTGGTTATGATGGATGCAGGAACGACGATCCCGCCGATGCCGAGACCGGCCAGAATCAACAAGCCCCAAAGTGTGTGCAGGTTGTATCGAGTAGCGACTGCAAGCGCGCCGCAACCGGCCGTCATCAGCACCGAGGAGAGTATCATCAACTCGCGGTTGTGGCCTCGGAACACGGAAAGGAGCCATAGAACGACGCAGGCACCGGTGAGAATGCTGAAACCGATAGGGATACCTCGGACTCCCACTCCCACGGGATCATGGCCGTAGACGTTGAAGGCCTGGGTGGGCCAGAACATGATGACGGAGAAGAAGTTTGCTCCCGAGATGGCGGTGATGATCAAGGTGAGTGTGAGGATTCTGGCCTCTTTCTTCATTCTCGACGGGAACATTGGGAATTTGGCAAACTTGATCTCCCAGATGGGGAAGGCAATGAGGAGGAAAAATCCACCAATGACCAGAGGTGCCAGGACGTGCGCCGAATGCCATGGGTATTGGTATCCGCCCCATTGCAGGCCGGCCAGAAACAGGATCATTCCGGTGATTGAGAGGAAACCGCCCACGAAATCGATCTCGCCAATGATCTCCTTCTTGGTGAGGCCCCGAGAGTTTGGTCGAGGAGGCGGGAAATAGAAGATCAAGGTGCCGCCGAAGCCAACACACGCCCATAGTCCGCAGAGAAGACAGCAGTATCGCCAGCCAGCGTGCGAGGCGATCAGTTGACCCCAGAGGACGGATGGGCAGAAAGGGATGATGGTGAAGACAAGGACGGAGACGTATTTGCCTCGTTTCCGGGTTGGGGCGAGTTCGGACGTGACGGCAAGCGAGGTAAGCTCACAGATGCCAGCCCCGACTCCGGAGAAAGTCATGCCCACTACAATAAGAGAAGATGGTCAGACCCCTGGCATCACGGTAGGTGAAGATTATGCTTACTGATAAAAACACCCATGCTATGCGCTGTACCGCAGATGATCATGGCAATGATGAGCAACCCTGAGCCTCCCAGTGCCACCCATCGTCTTCCAATGAGATCGGAAATCGATCCAACGAAGGGGCAGATGGCGGCCAGAGCCAAAAGGTAAGCCAGGACGAACCAGATCCAGCGGTCGACACCACCAATATCAGCATAAATGTATGGCGGGATACCCCCGAGGATGTACACGGGGATTTGGGAGCCAGTCCACAAGAAAGCCATGGCGACCAAGCTCAAGGCTCTATGAACGGTCATCTAGAGCAGAGCAAAGGCCGTCAGTATTGACAAGCGGGGAGTCGCTGCGATGTTGGGAACTCACCGGCGGTTCATGGTCATGGTCTTCATCATCACCATACGTCCTCAGACCGTCTTTCTCATAGTATCCGGGATGGCCTGGTACTCTCTCGTTGGTATGGATTTGCTCGATATGGGCGGAGGGATCCTTGTTTTCGATCGGCGAAGGCACATTGTCACCACTCGAGCTGTCTTCCATGGCAGTCATGATGGGCGACGCAGACAGGCAGGTAAGGGAGAAGGGAGCAAGGGATCGGTTTCGCTTGGCGCAGATCAGTCACCGGGAAACCAGCAGAGGAAGATGTGAAAGGAAACCGGGAGTCAAAGGAAAAGAGATGGGGAAGGGAAAGATTGATGTAGTCGGCGAGAGAAGATGAATTAGGAAGATCGACTCGGAACATGTGTTCACCAACAGGGGCCGTCAAGCTTCATTGACGCTTCATGCACTTCTCCGTCGACCTATTTTCACTTATCTCCAGATGGTGGGAGACTGAGGGTTGGGGCATGGCAGCGTGGGCGAGACCCCTGCGGGAGCCGGGGAGAGTGGATGGCCAGAGCTGGAGTATGGAGCAGAAGCATTGGGTCAGGCACTTCAGGGTAAAGTCCTGTGGATAACCTGGTGGTGAGTGACCGGAGTCGTTACCAATCTCAACACTAGAAAGTCTGAAAGAGCAGTGGCACCAGTCACCCACCGGTGGGGGGTGGAGGGTTCACCGTCTGGAAGGTCCTCCGTGGCCAGAAAGTGGGCCAGTGGGAGAGTGGAGCGATGCGAGAACCAGCGCGGAATACACACTCATTCATTGAATGTGTCTGTGCACCGGACACAGGATGGGGCGCAACGCCGGGAGCGTGGGCAGCCTGAGTGCTAGGATGGTGGGTTGCGATGAGAAAGCCCCGAGGTCATGGCTCGCCTTGATGTGACTTGACTTTTGGCTTTGGAACTCGACGGGAGGCGTTTGCCACTTTGTGCAAAGAAAAGGTCCAAGCCAAGCAGCGGAACAAAGAGGAATGAGGAACCTTAGTCACAAGGCGTTGCTGCAAGACTAGCGGCACCAACGGTAGCTTACTTGTTGACGCAGGATGATTCAGTGGTGGTGGAGGTGAAAGAGGAAGGAAAGGAATCAAGAGCCATGAGCGACAAAGTTGAGAGCGAGAGTTGACAGGTGATTCGGTATTAACACCGAATATTAATTCCCAGAGTGAGCAAATTCAGAAAGAGAAGAGCAAAGAAACAAACATTATTCTCTTCCAGTTCAGTGCTGGGTAATTCTCACAAGAAAGCGCACTCAACGGGCACCGCATTGTTCAATGGGAGCCTCTAGGCAATCTTCCGTGCAAGGAACATAGGCTCTTCTCCCTTCTTCCCTCTGTTCTCCATCAAGTCTTCCTCCTGTTATCTCTCAGAACCCCAAGCTTTGCACCATCCTCATCGGGAATCGATCCACTTCGGCTTCATCGCATTGTCTGTGAGATGTCGGGAGGATCTCGAGCTTCCATCGCCTATCGGTGTGGTCCGTTTAGGCTTTCTCCAGAGTCATCATGTTACAGCCCATTTCCTCAGGCGTTGATGCGCGATACGAGAGTCCCTAGGTACCGAGGTAGGTTCCGAGGTTCTTGTTCTCGGGGCAGCAAAGTCAGAGCTGCAAAGCATGGGAGCTAGCGGGGGAGACTCACCAAAGGCAATTGTTTGCGCGGGACGCGGGGGTGGGCACTGGGCAGCGTGTGCCAGAAGCCCAAAGCAAGAGACGGAGCCAAAGCAAGAGATGGAGGTGGCGCTTGGGTACTACTACTAGGTACCTAGTAGTAGTTGGTAGTAGTAGTTGGCATGCAATCCCTGGCTTCACAGTTCGGAAATGGCCAAACCTCTTCGCAGCCACTCACTTAAGCTCAGCCCTGATCTCCCTAGCCCCTTCTTGGTACTATCGACTTGGTCACCCTTCACTACCGCCCCGACATTGTGAAATGAATGCTGGGGTATGGATTGGTACCGACTACCTACCGTAGTATTACCTACCTCGTACGCGAGCCCAACTCGAAGGATTCACGAATGTGGGACACTACGGGGTCAAACAGCCAATGGCCCACTTCTCCGCAAAATTGAGTCTGGAGGCGACAAAAGGTGGCAAGCAGTTGGTTTCTTGCCAACCTGCCTCGCGGACAAACATCCAAATTGGTCCAAGAGTCGGTAAAAGCAATACTTTGCACTGCCAGTCAATAGCCGGCCACATACCGAGGCTCCCCGGCGACAAGACAGGCATTGTGTCACAGAAGATGCAATGGCGCTCGACTGCGCCCTTGAACATACTCCAAAGCCATGCTCAACCTCGACTTGCTCTCACTACATCACCCTCAAAACGTTGGACCACCCGTTTCCATCCGTTGTTTCTGGTTCCCGATGCTTTCAAGCACGTCGGACTCTCCCTCAGCCCACCGACGAGCATCAATCAATTTGCCGCGGTCTTGAAAATGTCAAATAGTCGCCCATGTGCCTGTTCTCTGCGCGCCTCGGTATCTTTCATGCACGTCGATGCTTGTCACCCATTCCGGGGCATAACCGAAACTTTCATCGTGCGATCACCTAGTCTGGGCACCAGTCCGGCCGTTTGCCACGCTTTTTTGCACGATCCCAGAGTCTGTTGGCGCTTCTGGCCTTGGCTAGCCCGCAGCGAGTGACAGTGATTGAGAGGTTCAGCTGTGTTTGGGCTGCCCTTTGGTCCCTAGTCCGTTCATAACACGTGTCGACCGCATCGAATCGTGTCCCTTGCACCCATCGTCTGCTGCACCCAGCGGCGATTGTCGAAAACGAGAGAGAGCTTTAGCCTGCCATTCTGGGCAATGGGACCCCTGTCATGACTCGCAAACAAATGCACAGGGAAAATGTGTCCCAAAGTTGTGTTGCATCGGGTCGCTGAACAGCCGGCACTCCGTAAACGACATCCTGGGGATGCGGACGGAAGTAGTCCCCGATTCTCTGGACAACCCGCATTTCGTGAACAATAATCTGGGGATGTGGATGGGCGCAATCCCGAAGGTCTAGACGACTGCGCTCATTTTGGAGGACGGGAAACCTGTTCCAACAATAAGTCAAAGGATCGAAAAAAAAGTCGTCCGCAGACAACAAGTGCTTACCTGTGTTTCTAGGGTCAAAAGTCCGCCGTGTCACTTGGATTGTCAATCCAGAAGTAAAGGTGGAGGGCAGTTCACACCTGCGGTTTACGGTAGGTAGAGAAAGAACGTGCGGCATTTGTACTCAGTCGATCTTTTTCGAGGCTACATCGCCCTCGAGCTCCGCCGTTGCGTCTTCACTTTTGGACTGCACGAGTCGAACCTGGACGTTGGCTAACGCATGCAACTCATCAAGAGACGGCAATTCGATCGTGAGCAACTCGGGCGTGATCCGTGGAGGAGCCTCGATCCTCACCACCATGGGCGTCATCTGAAGGTGCATCATCCCTGGACCTGGATTTGATTCCAACTGGGCCGGTGGGACAATCACCGCATATATTTCTCCAGGCCGCATAGGTCTCTTGAAGTCAATGGAAATCGTCTGCTGGTCCCGGCTTCCGTATGTCTTGTAGAAGTTGTGAATCTGTCGTTGCACGCCCTCCTCAATCAGAGTCACGATGGTCCCGCCATGGATTGTGTCTGGCCAGCCCTCTACGCCGAACCCCAAAAAGGCAACCATGATGGTAAACTCCTGCGTCGGGTGCTTGAATGTCTTCATGCTCACTCCTTGCGTCCCTGAAAGTGTCTCCGCCACCAGGTGTAGCCCTGTTCTATTCTCCAGAGCGCCGCCGCCGTGAACAGGCGCAGCCGCGTAGTAATTCTCTTCTATCCAATTCGCCTGCCGCAGCGAGTCCACCAAGGGGTGAAGCTCCATCGCGTCGAGGATTTCGTCGTAGAGTTCCTGTTCCGCCGGCGACCCGGGCTCGAAGGGCGGCTGGAGGTACTCCCATGTGATCAACGCTGTGCCGGCCGCGACACCCAAGGACCCGAAAAGGACGGCCCAAAACACGGATCGACTGAAGCTTTTCAGGAGCGAGAAACTAGCACCGGCACCGGGAGGAGGAGAAGGGACGGTCTGTATTTTCGGTATGTACGGTTGACCGTGCGTGTAAGGGCTCGAGTCTGGAACGGGCATTTGCCCGGGCGTCTGGAAGTATTCCTTGTGAGGGCCATGGTGGTCGTGCTGCGCTCGACAGACATTCAACAGGAAGCCAGAGCGAGCGAGCTGGGCGGTTCGGTTCTTTGGAAGTGCGCGACCAAGCAGGACCGGCCGAAGAGCCTGCATCTAGACGAGGCTTGCTAAAGCGCAGCTTGCGGCGCCCGCGAGGAGCCTGAGGGCGAGCAAAGCAAAGACTAGAACAACAAAGGATGGCTAGGTAGTTTACTAGGTCGATCGGATTGGAAGCTCTGAACTTTTATCTAGGCAGGCACGGCAGGTTTTGGGGAAGGCTGCGGTAAAGGTCAACTGGGTGCCAGAAAGATTGGGATGTTGTTCCCCCGTTGGCAATCTGCGCCGCCGGCCTGCGTCCTTGGCAACTACTGGCAGTGAGGATTCGCGGGTCAGCGGCAATGTCGAATGCACCAAGCTGCCATTTCTGACCGGCTATCTTAATGCCTGAGGTAGTTACTTTAGAGAGGTTAAGGATTCCCATTTATCCCTTTGATCATTAAGAAATGATGTAGTACCGCGGGTTATGTTTGGAACGGAACGAATCACTACAGGCAGGCAGACTGGCAGGGAGTCACCATATTCGCTTCATCGAGGTTTCCATAACGATCTCACGTTCGAGGAGCCGATAACATCAAGAATTTACCTGATGTGAGACACACCGGTCGAAATGACTGGAAAGTGGGAACAAGGACCGCCAGTTCAGAATGGACCTTTTAATAATTCGTCGAGTTGTACCAGCCCATATCCGTATCAGCCCATAGCAATAACGCCTCTGGCCAATCGTCACCACAGCCAGCTATCCCATCTTCAAGCCGCTGAGTTTGTCTTCTCGTGGCTCTAGGGAATTTGTGCATTTCTCCACGTCTAATGCAATTCCAAGCCTTCAAGCGTGGCAGCATGCCATCATTGGGACATCTCCACCTCAGCTTGACACCTCCGTCTTCAGCATCATTTCAGCACTGTACATGGCACCAGGGTTTGTGCTTCATCGTTCGGCAACTGCTTCGACTACCACCGCATCGCAAGGAGATTGGTGCTTATGATGTCGGGTTGGGGTTCATCTGTAGAAATAACCATCAGCATTCCATCATCTGACGCGCACGCAATCCTCATTGTAGTGTTCCATGACATCCATACCTTTCTCTTGCCACCCGTCATCGTCACGTTGACGAACCGTCTGGTGTATGTGATTCTCTTCTTCGCGCGGCCCTTAGGCGTCTTCTTCTTCTCTTGCTTCTCGACCTGTACAGAAGAGTGTCAGTCCCGTTAGGGAGCCTCTGTGAAAAACCACAAAGTTTTGTGCGTTATGAGGTCGGCTAAGGTGGTGTTGCGGTGTGGGAGAAATTGTCGCTCGGTCCTACTCACCTTTGGAGTTTGAGACTTGACTTTGCCAGCACGGGCAAGAGATCCGTGAACTTTACCCATGATTGCGAGTCGGGTTCGATCGGGTTGATGGATGAATCCTTGTGTTTCGAGCGCAGGTTACAAGATGGACGTTGACGGAATGATGGCAAAGTGCAGTTCGACGATGATGGATTTGAAGTTTCCAACTGGTGGGCGCCAAGAAATATCCCAAAGAAGCAAGTGGCAACTTTCCAGTGACAGCACGTGAGTCAGAGAAACGTCGAGCGCTATTTCACTGTGTCACGCGTGTCTAGATGGGCATCACTTGAGAAGACGCGTAATTGTGAATCACAACCTTCACGGCGTGCTAGATTACGGTGACATGGAGAAATGCCCTGGGTAATTCGTTCAATGTGCCGCGGCGCTAGCAATCTATGTCTAAGTATGCATCACTGTCTTCCTAGGCCAACACGCTGTTGATACTCATAACCAGAAAATGCGGATGTCCACTTCTCTCACGATCAGTCCTCGACTTCATCCTTGGTGGGCAGATCAATGGCTCGGTAGAGCAAAATTAGTGCGGAGGCGCTTTCGCCGCCACCGGAGAGAGTCATGATCCTGTCCGAATCGACCTCGCTGACTTTGTCATCGTTGAACCACCACCATTTTCCATCCTCTTCTCTGCGCTTGCCCCCCGGTGCTTTGGGGTCATCTACCAGCCTGCCCTGCTTCTTGACAAAACTGGTGTAATGTCCGCTGTCAGCACTTGCACCTTGGTGTGTAATGACACCTCTGAGCTCGTACAAGCCCGATTTGTTGGACCCTTCATCTGCTGCAAGCTCCGGATCAATAAGAGCGAAGAGTTCCTTTTTGGCCTGCTTGATGGATGCAGCTCGTTCGGCCTCGTACTCTGCATCGGTCTTGTACACATCCATTTCGCCACCTTCTTGCTCCTTTTTCTTTCCTTCCTCTTTCTCCTTTTGTTCGCGGAGTTTTGCAATTGGAGCAGCCTCAACGTCCTTCATTGCTTCATCATGCTTTCGATCTTCTTCCTGCTTGTGAGCCAACTTCTGTCTCTTTCTGGCTCTCTCGACATCCTGCTCGTCCTTGCGAATGTCGCGCACCTTGTCACGAACGGGTATCAGTCGCTTCTTCATATCGTCTGTGCAAAATTCCACAATGTCAAGTTCTTCTGGGAACGTGACTTTCCGCATGATCTTGGTTTTCTTCTGTATGTCTCTCCTCCAGAAGAATCGAACAAAGTGCACGGTCAGGTACTTAGGGAGCCGGGAGATTCGAGAGGTCTTGATGTATTTTGCATCTCGCTCGAGAGTTGGTGAGCGTTTCTCGATATCTTCTGTCAAAGCCGCCAGGATGCCGTCCCGCAGATGATTGATTGATTGGTCAATATGACAATCTAGCTTCAGGAAAGTCTCCTCAGACTCGACGACGGGCTCGCTGTCTCCAACTTCTGGTGGCGGTGCAAGCGAGGAGTGAAACGAACCAGCCATGTATCGATCGATGAACGCGATGTCTTTCTGTTCTTGGGTGCTTTTGTCCGTAATCTTGAGCTTCTGTCTCAGCTGGTGCAGAATCTGTGACCAAGCCTCCTCGGCATCTTGCTGGGCATAGCCATTTCCGTTCTTTGCTTTCTGCGCAAATTGAGGATAAACATTGCGCAGAGCGTTCAGAAACATCAAAGGAGGAAAGCCTTCTTGCGTCTCGGACATTTGTTTGTAAAGATCTCGTAGCTGCGCAGTCAGGTCGCCGGTGGAGCTAAGCCCACCAAGGCCGAGACGGCTGAGATCTTGTAGACTCGGACCCGCACCCATATCGGGCTTGTAGATCTTCAACGAGTCCTGCATTTCAGGTATGCTCCGGAGAACTTGCAGGGTCGAGTTCAAATAACACGTGTTGCCGAGATTCTGGAGGCCAGCTGGAGTAGCACCTTCTTGAGCGGCGGCCTCAGCTTCACTCATGTCCTCAACGAATTTTGGCTTCTCGGAGGGTGCGATGACTGCGCTGCTCTCGCCAGAAGCGGTGCCGAGCATGGTGAAGATCTGACCGGGTTTTGCATTGAGCTTAGACAGGTCGGTATCATCTTTTAGCTTTCCACCTTTGATGAGGACCGATTGTCGCTCAGGCTCGACGCCAGTGAGAGAGAAGAGTTGGAGTTTGAGCATTTCGCCATTCGCCGAAGGGTCAAGGTCGACATTGTATTTCTTGCCCTGGTGCTTGATGACAACTGCAAGTTTGTTAGTATCTGCGGTTCCGTTTGTCGAGCAATCCCCCGAAAACATACCAGGTATGGTCGCCATAGTGTTGGTCTGTTCTGCGGGATAAAGGACAAGAGTGACAGAGGAGTCTTATGCAAGAGAATGCAGGGACAAGTAGAGGAAAACAAATGCTTGGAAATTGTTTAGAAAGCGGCGAAATACTAGTATGCAAGGCTCGACAGGCACAGACAGGCACGTCACCCGAGCCCGTCACCAGCCCCCGCCAAACAAACCGGTGCCAAGCCCAGCAGCCGCAGGTGAGCGCAGAGACGCCAGCCGCGGATGACGGATCTCGCGGGCATTTCCCCTCCACAGCGTCTTTCCATAATCCAACTTGAGTCGAAACGACGACGAGCTCTCTTGTTCTATAATTCCATCTCACAGGACCAAACAGAACGCTGAATACCAACCTCGACTTTGGAACCCAATCCAGCGTCCATGAGCCGGTGAACCGTTTGCTCTGCTCCCCATCCTACTTGAGCGAGCGCATTGAAGATGGTGTGCCTGCTCTTGTCCTCATTTCAATGCTTTGAATCTCGGAATGTGCTGACTGTTGATCTCAGTCCCAATCATTGCGCCCGTATCTCCAATGCGTACGCTCCTCTCTGACCGCTGCTCTGTCTCTCTCAAACTTCGCTTCTCAAGCCTCAGAAAGACACAATGTCCCGGAGATCGAGGCAGCCAGTTCGCCAGAAGTCCTGTTGAACCCCCTCACCATCGCCCGCAATGAGAATGAGAAAGTTCTATTAGAACCCAGCGTGAACAGTGTGCGAGTGAGCATCAGAATAAAGCAGGCCGATGAGATTGAAAACATCTTGGTCCATAAGTTCACACGTTTCCTCACTCAGCGTGCCGAGTCCTTCTTCATTCTGCGGCGGAAGCCAGTCAAAGTGGGTAGCATCAGCATTGCCAAAGGTCGAGGCCTGACAAGCTGTAGGGTTATGATATCTCTTTCTTGATTACCAACACCCATACCGAAGAAATGCTCAAGCACAAGTTGGTGGATTTCATCATCCAATTCATGGAGGAAGTCGACAAGGAAATCTCGGAGATGAAGCTCTTCGTAAGTCGCGGACGCCTGGGAACATTCAATGTGCGTAGACTGATCCAGTTTGCAGCTGAACGCCCGAGCTCGTTTTGTGGCAGAATCATTCTTGACTCCGGTAAGCCCTTGAAGTTGCCAGGCAGTCGCCCATGTTGACAGAATGCAGTTCGACTAGATTTGAGGTTTTCGACAACATAAAAAGTACAAGAGCCGTGGATCGAGCTCGAGTGGTGGTATTGGGCGGGCCTCATTCCAGGTCCAGTCATTTGGCTGAGCCTACACAAGGCTGCGGATGGATCACGACCCCTGAGATCATGTGACAACGGCCCAACGACATGTCAATCATGCAGAAGACTTTGGAAGCAGCACTAGCGTTAACAATGAGCCATGTCGAATGATGAACACTGAACCGATGGCGAGTCCCATGGTTCAGATGATTCTGTTCTCTGCAGATGTTGAATACAAAGTTCCTGTCGCTGGTCGGGATTCATCTTGTTTCACACAGGTACGCTCTTTGACATGTTTTGTGATCACTAGATCGAGACCAGGCCGGGCTCTGAGGAACTCCATTGCATTCATCTCCTTCCTCATTCCTACACTGAAGTTGGACATCTGGAAGGTATACCGATACTGCACTTGGCGACAACCCAAACCAATACGACCGGCACTATCCTCTCGATATCCCCGGGCGGTCGGGCGGCCGCCAAGATCACCCTCTCATTTGTATAGGGAGATGGACAAGTGAAGCAAGATTTGGCCTTTTACTGCCCCAAAATCAATATCAGGGACTCACCGCCTTCGACTTCTCACTATATTTTGCGGTGGACGGAGAAACAGAGCAGCTGTCCTGTTTTTTTCAACGCGCGTCTCTTTTCTCACTTCTGCGTTGGAACTGGCCAATTTGTTTCCTCTCCCAAGGATCTGTCGGACCTCTTCTTCCTTCTCCTTCTCTAATTAACCTGCTCCCCTCCTTGTTTTGTTCCTCATTCATCCTTTCCTCCTTCATCCATCTCCCCTTCTTCTTTATTGATGTGTTTGACGCTACTCTGAGGAGACTTGTCACTATGGACGGCCAGCAAGGGTATAGTGGTGTGCCGAGTGACGGCCAGCACGGTCACCCACCGTCCTCTGGCTATGTGCGAATTCCCTACCCCTCCATCGGACCTCTTCATCAAGTTCCTCCCCCTCCTGTTGTGAACTACCAGCCAGCATACCATCTTTCTCACCCGCAGCATCAAGGTGTGCAAGGTTTAGGCGGTGGGATCAATCTGAACGGACCAGCGATAGCGGCTGCGATGAATGCTGGTGTTGGTGTCATGCCAACAGCGCCACTTCTGACCATGCCAGCACCTCCTTCGGTTCCTGCCAACTTCTACCTCGCAAACAACAACAATCCCTTCTCTGCTGGTGCCGGTTTTGCGTACACAACGCCTGCTCCTCAACCTGTTCCCGTCATGTCGGATCCCGAGATGTCTTATCCTCCCGAAGTGCCTTTTGATCCAAGAAGCACTCCTCCGTTTGCGGATCGTGCTCAGTTGCAGTTTCCAAGACCTCATGGTGTCCTCAAGATCGAGAATGTAAGTCCTTGTCTCCTCTTTGTCTTTGAAACGTTTTTGGTCAGACTGGAGATTTGAATTTTTGTGTTGAGCAATCCGTCACTTGTTCGTCATTCTGCGTTGTGTTGCAGCTTCAGTGGATCTGAGAGATCTTGCACTCCAGAGCGACTGGGTAGCAAGCTGCGTGGCTCACAAAGTCTTTGTTGCTGTTGCTGTTACTCTTCTTCTCATCCTTTACAAAGCCCCATCTTCATGTTTTATTCTGTCACCTGCGGAAGAAGGAGCTCGTGGCTAATCATGTCAATCTCCGCCAGATCCCATACACCATCAGCATCCCAGAGATGCAGCAGTTCATCTGCAAGTACATCCCTCAGAGCCACTTGATCGAGCCCCATGTGGCCGGATACCCGATCCACATCATCATGGAACGCTCCACTGGAAAGACGATGGATTGCTATGTCGAGATCGTGGCCCCGGAGATTGCTGCTCGTGACTGGGAACATGCCTTTGACCCCAAGCAGATGCGGATCCCCAAGATTGGCCAGCGCAATGTCGAGGTCACGCTCAGCAACCAGTCCGAGCTGATGAAGGACATGTTCCCTCGTGCCAACTGTATCCACTTCAAAGCGGACCAGTTTGGTGCCCCCGTGTTGGTGCCGAATCGCGATATCTTCTCGTCCGGTTACAAGGGATTCATGACCAACGAGGAACTCACCTGCATTGTCCGTCATGCTGAATATCCACAGCGGGTGAGCCTCCTTTTCCCCCCTTCCCCCAGTTGAGTTGTCAATATACCCGAACTGACATCCTTTTGCCTTCGGTCAAGTCCCAGTTTGCGAATCGGAGCATGCAACGTACCTTTGAGAGCATGATCAGTACTTTGTACAAGGTAAGCACACGTCCACTACTCTTCCGTCCTGCGAAGGCACCCATCTGACCATGAGTCCAAGTTCCCTTGGTATTCCGTCAAACTTTATACCCTTCGTCAGACTCAACAGATGTTCGATGCTTATAAGAAGCAACTTGACGTCCTCATTGTCAAAGTCGACGCTTCCAGAGGCACCCCTCGTGAGGTGGGTCTTGACAACAAACTCCTGATGGATTTCGTCTTTGCTGGTCTCAACGCTCCTGGTTTCTCCGAGCGCCAGCGCGCCGAAATTGTCAAGTCTTCCCAAGCCCTTGCCTGTGGTTTCCAAACCAGCAAGCATGCTCGTTACTGGCCGTTCACTACCCTGTCCACGGTTCCTCCCCATCTGTCTGACCAAGACGTGGGAATGTGGTTGGAGATTCTGAACGTCGGCATGGGCGTCATGGAGGCTCAAAATCGGAAAATCATTGGCATCGAACCATATCTCCGAGTCATCCGTGACCCTGAAGGCTATATCTTGTTTGTGCCCAGTGAAACTGCTCTGGACTTGAAGCGTGGACAGTTCTCCGTGTTGGAGAAGCGAGTCATGAATGACATGATCCAGCTTGGTTGGCAGAGTTACATGCGTCAGATGGGCGTTGAGTCACCGACACACATGCAGTATCCCGGTATGCCTTTCTTCAGCAACAACAACTTTACCGTTGGTGCCGCTCACGTTGACCCTGTCGATCCGTTCACCGCCGCTGGGAGCAGCAACACCGGTCCTGGAGGTCCGGCCAACAACAACGACAACAACGGTCAAGAATCCGGTAATGGCGGCAACGACAATGTCCTCGACATCCAGAACGGTCATGATCTTTGGTTTGATGATGACGAGTACCCAGATGAGCACGAGTGGGAAGGAGAATTCAGTGACTCTGCCGACGAGGCCAACAAGACATCAGATGACAATGTCGACGATCCGGAGAAGGCATTGCAGGCCATGCGCGACGTCCTCAAACAAGTCAGCCAGGCTCCGCCATCGAAGCAGCAAGCCGACGTGCACAAACAAAGCGGCTTTGACGCAGACACCGCGGGACTGGGAGCTAGCCTGCAGAATATCGAGTTGTCCGGCGGCAACAATGGTGCGCCTGGACCGACCATCGTCGGGTCACTCCCTCCACAGCGCCCTGCCCGCGCCAGCACTGTTGTCGATCATCCATTCAATCCAGAGACTCCTGCGTTTGAACCACCGGCAGGTTGGAAACAGCGACACCATCACACTCCCACCAACTCTGACTCTACGTTGGGGACTGGCACTGTCTTTGGTGGCTCCGGTTTAGGAAATGGTAACTTCGCTTCTCCGCAGAGAATCAGCACCGCTCGCAACAACAACAACAATCACAATAACAAAGGCAAGGGTAAAGAACCCGCTGCTACTACTGCTGCTGCTGGCCGTGGTGGCGCTCCGGTTACGGCTGCTGGGATCCGTCTTCAGCCTGCTGCACCAATCTTTGCCCGCCCGCCTCCGACTGTCGCTTTCGGTCGAGCTGATGCCGTTGCTGCCCAGCCAGCGTTATTTCAAGTGCCCAACAACGGTCGTGAACGTCGCGGCGTCACCATTCGTTCCGCCAGTGGTGGTGGGAGCTCCCTTGCAAGCCTGCAACGCACTTCTGCTCTTGAAACCACAACAACCGTCCCTGCCACTGGTGGTCCTGGTGCGTTGTTGACGCAGTCTCCCGAAGGAGGGGCGCAGAACGACGGCAACACCGCAGATAGCCTCGACGAATTCTTGGACGACCTCTTCGGCGAAACCACAAGCCAGGCTGATCGTGTGGCCATGCGTACTCCGACTCCGTCCACCACTCCGCTAATTGCGCCGGTCACTCCTCTGCGCCGCACCGTCGGTCGCGTGCCCTCCGCCGGTATCGGTCCTGTCGAAGACGATTACGATGACGGCGAGGTGGTGAACAACAGCGTGCCGGCTGATATGCCTAGCTCTTCTCCAAGCTACATCAATTACTCCGACCGCTCGTCCAACTCGGGCGCTGCCCCCGTCACCGGCCCTCCCGAATATCGTGGCCCCGGCTCCGGCTGGGAAGGCTACTCGCCAATCTCTCAGACCGATTTGTCTCCCACCAGAGTCCCTCGCCGCCTCGCCCCGGGTTTTGGAACCAATCTTGTCGGATCTCCGTATCCTGTGCGCATGACCCGAAGCGAAGTCACGGCTGAAAAGCGCAGCACCCGCATGGACTTTCAGCGCCTGAATCTTCACATCGACGACACGATTGATGAGGAGGAGACCGAATCTTGAATTCAACATTGGGGCAATCAGCTTGACTGACTGACTGAACTTTCTTGAGACTGAGGTGAAACGGAGGTGAGAAGGACAGTCCCCTGGATAACGAATGACTGGAGAGAGAGACAAAAAGCATGAGACCATTGGAACGTACGTGGAGCGTGGAATAGCCAATTACCCTGCGAGAATTGGATCGAGTGTGCTGGCAGTGAACAATCAATTGGGGCTGGGGCTGGATCTTTGTGGTGACAGAGGATGAAACCGTGACGAAAAGCTGATGAGATGAGATGAGATGAGCGTTGAAACAAAACACACATGGCAATAGCACTATGTAGTAGCTCGAGCTCCGAAACCCAATTCAAGCCAGAGAGAACGAAACAGGTCCTTTTTCCATTGCATTTCTTTTTTTTTTTCCATTTTAAAGGCCCTCGATGCTGCATTTCTCGTCCTGGAGGCACGTACGGAGTAGCATATGACCTAGGTACCTAGGTAGGTAGGTAGGTACCTAGGTAGGTAGGTAGGTACCTAGGTAGGTAGGT